AAGAAGTGGCATCTGCAACCTCAGTTGACTCATTCAAGAAGGATTTGGACATGCACAGATATTTACTAGAATGGAATCAGTATAGGACCCAGGCCTTCCATCCTCAATCAACCAATCTGATTCTACATACTACAAGTCGTCTGACAGGATGGTCAAGATCATTAGTCCGTTCATTAGGTAGCTTTATTTTGGGCTGCTTTAGTTCACGGTCACCACCTTATTTGTTGTAACACATGATTAAAGCTGGACTTATCCAGCATGTTGGTTGAAATTTCGCTCGGCAAATTTTTTTGTCAACAATTTTTAATAAAATTGTGTGAAATGTTTTCTGGATTTATAGAAATTCTCATTTCCTGGCTAGTTATGTAAGTGTCCGCGTCATGTGATCTGACTACGACGCGCTCTTAGCAAATTGGTCGCGATGACTAGTGCTCCACGTGGACTGTGTCAAAATATCGCTATAATGAAGATGGGATAATTGGAGGCTAATGTCATCTACACAAATAGTTTACCTTACTTAGAAGCTGCAGCTTTCGGCATAGTATCATTCAATGAAGACTTCACATCTCAGGGTATCAATTTGGCTACTTTCGTGTGAATAACAGTGCTATTTGACAAAATAATGCAATCAAAACATGGGAATCACGTATAAATGTCAACAGAACCTTCTGTGAGAACAGAAGTTATCATGTAGGTGTGTATTTCGCCGTATATACGGTGTGTTTGGACAGGAATTATCGTAAGTTGAAAGGCTATCTCTAAGTGGATTTAATATACATTTACACCGATTGGCGTAGTGCAATATGGGTTATGTGGATTCAATGTATAAAACACACCTCTACTAATGTTGCTTCCTTGTCTGCTTAGCTGTCTGCTAGGCTAACAAATATGGGTGGTTCTCATGATTGTTGCAAGTGCAGTGCAGTAAAGAAGGCAGTAACTCGTTTAGTTCTCCTCACTGTTTCACTTAGTGTATTGATTCAGTGTGTAGTAATATAATACACATGGATCGTGTTGATCATGAGAACTGAATTCAGTTAGCTCCACTACTACTAATAATAATAATGTATTTCATATAAATTTACAAATTTGCATTTTCATGTAAATTTGTAAATTTATATGGAATACATTATTATTATTATTAATCTACCGTCTGCTATACCGTTCCCACTGACATTGTAAACTTAGTGCTGCAATATTTTTGATCACCAACAGTGGAGATGAATTTCTGCTGAAATTTCCATTTCCATGAAGCAGTACAGACGCGGAGTCACGATTGAATGTCTAGGTTGCATTATATGACATTGTTATCCTCATTAAAACAATAGGTCTGTGTATTTTACAATATTTTAAGTGTTTCTCTAAACTGTTAACATTGTGCTTAACTGCTTAGAGTTGAGGCATGTTCAGCTTATCTTTGATGGCTACACTTTCCTAAATATGAGAATGTAATTTCTGTAGGATTCATAAAACTATGCTTACTAGACACTACTGAGATTGTTGATCAATTTCTAAGTAACACATTTGCAATACTTCCTTTAATGTAAACGTATCTAGTGTGAAGTTGGTCTGCAAGTAATCTTGATGAGAGAATGACACCTCAACAGTGTGGATTTTTCAGATATTGTTTTGAAAAAGTCCTCTAATATAAAAACCAGCTGTGGACTACGAATACTTTTATTTATATGAGAAATTTAGTAAGTGTTAATAGAATCAGTGTATTCGGATTATATGGCAATATATAAAATTATCTTTCATAACTTCATATTGTGATTCTTACTTTGGGTATATGGAGGTTGTCGAATATGAAATCAGCGGAAATGTAAATCGGTCAAACTAACGCTAATACCCTTCATAAAAATCTTGTGTGAATTAAGAAAACGTTTAATATACTCCTAATTTCTACTTCTTCTTGACTTCTTCAGTGCGTCGCTATACTATGAGCTTTTGTAATATGTGAATTCAGATTAATGCGTCTTCAGTTTAGTTAGTGGGATAGAGATTTACTATAGTATTATGAGACTTACTTTAGTCATTTGTAGGATTTCGCATGTTTCTATATAATAGCACATCGTAAAAACTAAGTAGGATTTAGCAAGTTGAATAATAATTCTGTACTGTTCGTTACACTAAAGTCTCCTTATTTGGGCGTTTGCAAGTCTGTACATTGCCAAACACCAAGTATGTAATACAAGTAAATGTAGTAACTTAGGGTTGATAGCTGTTAGTATGCAGTGACATCATCAAGTAGACTGCTTACTCAGCGATGAGCTGAGAAACAATTTTTACTTATTTCTAATATGCTGCTGAATCATGTGATATCATCTAATATCCATCATTTTTATGATCAACTACTGCTGTGTTTGCATATCTACTTTGTTAAATATTCAGATGAACTATGTGTTTCAGTGCCTGTTAACCCCAGCTAGCCTGTACTAAGATCAACAGCTTTCTATCAGGAGTCAGTAAATGGTCTTCAACTGAATCCTTCTAAATGTCAGAATTTTAATTTCAGTTTCCGATGTAAAAGAAAGTTAAATGAAGCTCTTAATTCTCATGATCGTAGCAAAATTGATGATAGTGAAATAGAAATCAAGTCTAACGTTATGCATCTTTGATTAATTCTTTCTTCTGACCAATCCTAGTCTCCCCTTGTCTTAGCGATTTCTAAAAAAATATTTCGTCTGACTTTTCACATTAAGAAGTTAAGGCACTTAGGCAGAACTCAACCTCTCCTCTTACAGTTTGTCAATTCGTGCATCTTATCCATTCTTATTTACTGTCCATCTTTATTCTTTCCTGGGTTGCTTAAAAAAGACTATGTCATACTTCATAGAACTCTGAAGACTGTCATTGGGGTAAAACAAGAAATTATTTCAAAAGACTGTATGCATACACGTCTTAGTACAAAACATCCACGATACCATATTTGGTACGTATTTTACACGATGAAAATAGTGTCAGGGACTAACTAACTAAACTTATTTGCACTAGTGAATAAACCACTCTCCCCATCCTCATTTCATCAAGCTTCCCTGTTATTATTCTTACATTTATAATCCTCTCCCGAATATTTTTGACATAATACCCTAACTGTGAACAAACTCCTGTGATTAATTTATATTTTAGGTAATTCAGATACAATATTGTGATAAATGGTGAAAATTCCATTCTGTTTTATAAGCACTGTTTTTCGAATTTAAGTAGATTATCATTATTAGGCTTTAATGACGCCACTTTATTTTGCTTCACCTGTTCTTGTTGCTTTAATCATGATAGTAGCGTGTTTCACAGAACTCATCACACAGCGTATCAGCCCTAAATGTACACCACATGCAAACATAATGCTTATGAGCTAGGTATGCAAATCAGAGTAAACGTTTGTATGGTTCATCCATTATTTATAAGACTAACTAGTATGTAAGAACTGCGATTTGACCAGTTATACAACGTTTAGACGCAATCAACGTAGGCTGCTTACTTCTATGACGCATCAACTAAAGCTACGTAGCTACCTTAAAATAGTTTCCGCTAAAGGTAATCTTCTTTAGCTACTACCTTAGTGAGCAGCTGAACGTTGTCTTTGAATAACAACGCAAATGTGGAAATTCTAAGAAGTTTCTTGGTTAAAAGATAGTCTCCTAGTCGAAAAAAGTAAATATACCGTAATCTCCACGAAAGTGTTTAGAGGTATTTATCCTATCACCCCAAATAAATCACTATTTGCAGTCACAGACGCGCGATATTAATCCGAAACACAATGACTACGATTCTCAGTCACAGAATATTCTACTTTGCTACCTAATCGTCTAATAGTATTATTAGATGTTACGCCAAGAAAAAGAAGACCACAGCTTCAAGGACAACTTAAAGTTTTCTTAAAAATCATGGACATCTAGTAATTATTCCAATCCAGAAATTACAAACATCCGAAAAGTAAGAATTTGATTATTTGAACTGGAACAAACAGTTTGTGTTCAGCCAGTGATTTTACCCCGAATAATAATCAGCTTTTCAGCCTGTTGTAACTCAGAGAAAATCAACAACCGTAGACCACAGCCCGAAACGTTATTTTTGCTAATTAAAGTCTTACCTTTAACTGGGATAGTTCATACACTCACCAGGTCATCATATGTTATCCGCTTTTAAAATCATTTTGCAACAAATTGAATGCCTGTTAACACTGGCTTTACTACAGGCAGTTCTAGTTCACGTATTTGAATCTAGTACATTAGGCATTAACAAACATGTAACACTTACCCTTTGGAGGTTTCTGATTGCTTTCCAGTTTCTTTTTGTTCCCCAAAATACATACAGGTGCAACAGATTCACACTTCTGATGTGGCTAAACCTTGTTTGATTTAGATTCTCTTACAAAGTATCTGAATTTTTCGCTGATAATAGACACACTGATGGTATACTCACCTTATCGAAAAGCTTCAAAGCTCATTTAAGTTGAATCCAGGTTCCGAATTCTCCAGGCTTAGTATGCGCTTCAAAAACCTTGCTAACATCAACTCTTATCATGTTCTCTTCACCAGATTCACTCATAGATTGTTGCATGCTGTAAACATGAACGTGAAAGACATTTTTTTCCAGATTTCTACATATTAAGTAAAAAATTGAGCCAGCAATAACAACGGCAACCAACGAATGAACTGGAAACAACAGCTTTTGCCACCTAAACATGTTCATGTGTATATTTTTCTAAACTCCTACACGGTATTATTTTAAAACATCTGAAAAACAACTAAACCACTGAAACCACGCATGATTGGAACGCATGAAACAATTACGATGGAATGAATTAACTGAGCTGGTGATATGAACTTTCGAAACAAAAAAAACAAAGTTTAACAGCAACGGAAATAAAAGTGAGGTGAAACGTGACATTTGTGAACTATGTGCATCAAGGTAAGTTGTGAATAACTGCAGGATAAGCGTAAAACCCAATGTGTAAACGAACGGCTACGGAACTGCAATCCAACATGGTCGACTAACATGGACGAAAATAACCTTGTGTGTCTCACTCCACCAATGACCTTGGATGTGGCAGACAATTTCAGCCGATAATTTCAGTCATATTAATTACATATCGGATATCTTTGCTTACACGTCTACAGTCGGCGGGGCATATTTAAATCCAAGGTCGTTCAATGCGTGTAGTCAGTAGTGTGCTGGAGTTCAAGGAGACTTTGCGCAGCTGCTCTAAATCTGGGAATATTTTGATAGTGGACTTCTATGCAGACTGGTGCGGACCATGTCGCTTTATTGCGCCTCATTTTGAGGCACTATCTGCAGAGTATCAACCAAAAAACTTCGTCTTTCTAAAAGTGAATACGGAACATTGCAGAGAACTTTCTCGACAAGAAGGCATATCTGCTTTACCGACTTTTAAATTATATCAGGATGAGCGTTGTGTTCGAACAATTGTCGGTTAGTCACATTTAAATGACATCGGGTTTAAACCTGGCTTTAGGCAGCAATCTCAGCAAATTACGAGCTGTTCTGGATGAATTTTCACTAGATTACTCGCTCATACAGCTTAAGCTTCATGAAAATGATGAAGAGAAGATTCGGGCTTTTAAATGTCTACATAACATTATGGACAAGATCTTGACCAATCCTCAAGACGAAACTTGTCGTCGGATTACTTTGACGAGTACTGATTTCACTGAGACTCTTTTAGTCATCCCTGGATGTATGGACTTCTTATTTTCTGCAGGCTTTCAGGTAAACTATGGCATTTGTTTTTCTGGCTTTGATATATATCCTTTATTTCTGACGATTACAAATCGAAACATTTCCTTCCATCTGAAATTCTTATCGTGACAATTTTAAGGTAAACCAGACTGTAATCGAATGTAGTCATTTTAGAGGCACTATTAATACATTATTCTAAATGATTCTTAGGTTACGTTGCCTTTGTTTTTCCTCATATTTTGTGATTTAGGTAACATAACGTAAATCCCTTCAGGTACCAATTTGAATTCCTATAGGTACGGCATTGTAGAAATATTCAGTATCAGCCAACTATTTTTTGTTATATTATTCACGTTATATTCATGAAACTTAGTCGGTAATATTCAAAAGGTGTTGGACAGAAGAAGTGTTATTATACTACTGTATCTTGTGCTTCGAATGTGTACAATCCAGCTGTTTTGCATTAAGAGCTTAAAGTTCCACTGTATGGCAGCCTCAGTAGGGTCTAAAAGCATATCGTAGAGTCCAGGAATCGCAAACGCGTCTAATGCCGAAACAAATTCGACTAAAATTTCTTGAGTGTCGATAGGCGATATATTAGTTTTATGTGAAATATGCAGGATTTCATTATAGTGGAATGATGAAATTAAACTATAACAGCCTAGCCGATGGACCTTACCAATAAGCTTCAGCAACTTATTAGAATTGAAGAGCAATACAGTTTGAGATATCTTTGGAAAGATGATGATAGATCATGGTGTTCCGGAATCCTTTTGTGCTTCTCACTTAGTTATGTAATCTATCCCGAAATCCCAATCCTTGCAAAAACATCTGTTGTTCTGACAAGCTTCCTCCACATATGCATGTTTTAGTAACTCCAGTTAACACCACTATTCATACAATGATTAAACACTAAACCTTTGTGGAATGCGTTAAGCAAATTTGGAGTAGAAGGCATAGTTAAATTTGGCTATCCTGGCTGGAAGTAGTAATTGGTTTCCGTAGGTTATGTTCTAAGAGGACTATCATAGTTTAACTTCGCTAATAGAATAAGCTCACCTTCATCATTGTTCTGTTTATATTGTGTCTTTCGCGCACCTCTTATGCAGTACAAAATCTTTTCGTTGTACTGTTGTACTCGACAACGATTTATGCATTGAGTAAAATCACTTTAGCATTTCGCTTTGATATTGTGTTCGTTTAGACATTGGTAACATGTGTACAGAGTAATGAGGTGTCTTTTTCTTGTAAGAAGAGCATTGGCTGATCAGTTTTGCAAAATTATATATGGTTAATATCCGGACCTTTCCAAGTATTGGTTTTGTAGAGATTGTTTGATTGGTTGGATGATTTCATCATAAGCTGACATCACTTAAAGAACCATTTGGAAACCTGGGAGTACTGGACGGCTGTTTCATCCTAGTTTGGGACTCTTCATCAGTGCTCACCCACCGAGGTTCGAATCTAGGACAGCTTTTAACTTTGCATCATACTGCTAATATTATTCCTCATACAGCTTCGTATCGTAACAGTGCAGATGATATTCGTTAATTAAGCCGTCAAAATAATTTTTTAAATTTCTTAAAATCACACTGGCAACTTCACAGTTTAAAGTTTATGATGTCTATGTCTTATCGAGGAAGACCTTGACTAGGCATGCATACGTAGCACATGTCCTAACCATCTCTCTCAATAGGTGCAACTTCACAGCCTCGTCTGTTGATTTCCTCTCCCACCTCGACCGAAGCCTGACCTCAATATTGCTCACCCTATTATACCACCACTTAACATGAGAGATAAAAGGCAGGCACTTGTGATCAAAGACAGTTAACTAGCTAGCTTTTTCATGTCTTCCACTTTCAATGTCCATGTCTCAGTCTCAGCCACAAAGGAGGATGGAACAGACTGATGAGTTCTACACCCACCCTTTAGTCGATAGCCAGCCGGATATCACGTCTACTAAGCCATAGACGGCGTCAACTGGCATATGCGAAACTAGCCTTCTGTATCCATGCTGAAATGTCGTCAGCAAATTTGAGACATGCTTAAGCGACTCAAGTGTGGTTGACCACTGTGAAGAATCTGTGGAATTCATTCTTAGGCTTAGTCTTTATAAATTAGCTGGTATGTAAGTGATAATAAACTCTAGTGAAGATTACTCACTGAGGTAAAATATCTGCATGCCTTTTTTATTTCAGTTGATTTGTAAAATCTTAAATCCATGCAGATATGTAAAAGCTTATCAGAGGGTTGTCGTTTAAAAATAATAACAACTGAGGGTATTCTTCAGGGATGCATCATATCACTGTTCCTATCTAACTGTACCATAAACTCAGTAACGACTGTAGATCTATTTACCCCGGTGTCTCTAGAGTTGATTTACTACCACGGATGGATCCTGTTGATAATGAAGAGTCTTGTGAATAGTCTGAACAAAAATCTGGATCCGTGTATGGTATGTGGTTCCTCCTTGTCAAATGGAAGATTTATTTATATTTATTTAAACGCAAAAAACTTGGTATAATATGGCACCAAGAAAGATGCGCCACACAATTTAAAAAAACAACATAGATTAAAAGTAAAAATATAAGTGTAGAGAACGGATAAAGAACTTCATCTGGAAGTAAAACAGTCATACTTAACAAGTTCAAACAGTATTCGTTAACTATCATCAGGAGGGGGAGAAAGAAGGAAATTGCAACACGTTCGCCATTGATTACGATTCTTGGCCATATCCGATAACGTTTCGAGCCATCGATTCGAGCTATCTCGTGGACCCCAACCAGGGAGTCGTCACGCACCAACCGATGCTAATCTAGCACAAATATCCTTCATCCCACGACGCCACGTCATGGACTTACCACCCCTCCGCCTTTTCCATGCCGTTCCAGGGCTAGCGAACAGAGACCTGTACGGAAGCCTCAGGAATGACATTCGAAGCACCTATCCAAGCCACCGGAGCCGGTGTTTCCAGATGACACTCAGTGAATGGTGATCTCCACTGTGTTCAAACACACACCGCCGAACCTCAGAATTACTCACGCGATGATGCCATCGAACACAAGCAATCCTGCGGAGACGACGATGATCGAACACACATAGCCGCCGCACATCCTCAGCCTACTCGGAGAGGCCAGGTTTCACAGGCGTAGAGCAAGACAGCCCGCACCGAGAGCAAGACAGATAATCGTACACAAATAATTTGCCTTCTTGGATGAACACTACTAACTGAAGTGGAACTTATTTGGCAAGAAGTTCTGGGTGGTTAGATCAAAACATCGCATGATTCCATGAGATTATTACTTCTTGATTCTAGGTGGTATGTTTGTGCTCTCGGGATACTAAACATCAATTGTTCAAAAATAAATGAAATAATTCACTATGTCTCGTGTAACTTGTTGCCTTCCAAATCCTGATTATCAGTAATCTTCCTTAAGTTATTCTGTCACACACACGTAAATTTGTCCACTACATTATCGTCCCATTTCTGTTCTCGTATTTTGAAGTGTACCATTGTAGACCTACACACTTTTCAGTAAAATTCGGTGTTTACTCGCTAGTCTATCTGTCTGTTTGTGTGTTATTTCATGAAGATACTGAAGTTTCACCACTATTTTCATAATCATTCATATTGAAGTGGTAATGCATCTCTATCTGACTATTTTTTTTATATATTAACGATGATTATCCTGTAACTATTTTGATTTCATGACTATTTGAAGTTCTATCAATACTCATATCCATATACCGATTTCCTTTTTCATTATTCTTCTTCTTTACTTTGAAGGAGGCAGATGACGCCTTTGTCTTGCCTATGACAGCTGATCTCAGTCAGTCAAGAAAGCTGCTTAACCAACTGAAGTCATGTTTGGTATGTTGTTAGCATTTTTCAAGGATATATCAGTGATTTATACATATATATTCTTTCATTACTTATTTATTTATTATAATAAAATACAAACTTAGTACATTATGAGCAATGGGAGATACGCCACATGAATATCTCATCGTTTGTGGGGTGGGGGCTGGGGTACTACTCCCCGGGACGCTCAGATATACGTTACTCATAGTTATATAAAGCTTTTAAACTTCAGTTTCTTCGACGATAATAATACCATCATACTTAAAATTATGTTCACAATGAGTTTATTATTGGAGTTTGTTGGAGTATTGGACAGCTGTTTCGTCCTAGTTTGAGACTCCTCATCAGTATGCATCCAGTCCACCTAGGACCTTCTGGTTATAAGACTAGCGAGATCGTAGACCATTAAGCAGCTGGGTCCCACCCGATCCAATGGCCAGTCCATAAATTGTAACTTTTCGATATGTGTTTAGAAAATCTAAGACTAACCCTCGTTTCGGTTCTTCCAATATCTCTTCTGTGGCAGCTGCACGCAAATTTGATGATTGATATATCCTTGATGCGTTACAATGCTTGCCAACTGCGTACATGGTTCAGGGATCGATCCTCAGTCGAAACACTCCTCTAAAAACCTCGCCTAATCAGCGTTTAATTCGGTAAGGACGGGAGGTTGGGCCCGCTTAAAAAAGAACACTGCTGTTCTTCAATGCTGAGAGCTTGAAGCCTTATGTTCCACTCAGAACTCACTTCTCATCCCTGTTTTTCTGTTGTCCGATTTTCTCTTTTAACTTAGCCAACTACTAGTGCTGCAAAATCACAACATGAGACTATGGAGTTGACAAATTCAGAATTAAACTTTATGGATAAAATGCTTACTTATCGGAGTTTTGTCTTAAACTATATGGATCCTCAATTACAGGTAAGTAGTAATCAATAGACTGTGCAATTTTTTATTTCATTCCTTGGTCACCGCCTAACTTATGCATGTAGAAATATTTTTATGTAGATAGATTCTATTTTCTTTTGCATAAAATTACATACTACTGATTAATTACAATAAGTAGATGGATATCACTCACGTCAACTTGTAGTGCTTGCTAGTTAGCCAGATCGAAGTGGTATGAACACCGAATGACCGCATTGCTCATTTGGGAGTCTAGTGTTTTTCAGCGGTTTATCTGGCTCCGTTTACAACATGGGTCTAATCGTCTTGTTACTTTTTGGGAGGAGGACCATTGGGGAACCAGCACTGGAGTACTGGAAAGCTGTTTCGTCAGCCTAGTTTGGGACTCTTCACCATTGGGGTTCGAACCCAGGACCTTCTGGTTAGAGGAATAGCGAGCTCATAGACCATTAAGCCACTGGGTCCCATCCTGGCCGATAGCCAGCCCATGAATTCCAACTCCAGCCAATTTACGATTAGTTTTTCACTGTTGTCCGTTGAATGTTACCTAACATGATGCTCGTCAGTTCAATCCGTCTGTATTTGTTGTTTTTATTTTGTATCTTAGAAACAGGCACGTGAATTAATTCCTAGTGAACAGTTACTTTTATCTGCTTGTCAAAATAATGGTTGTTCTGAGGATGAAGTGAAGCCTGAAGACTTTCTTCGAGAATTAATGTCTTGGTTCAAGAGTGAATTCTTCAAATGGGCTGATAATTTTGAGTGTCAAACATGTGGGGTAGGTTTTCCTTTTATATATATATATTTTTATTTATCATCGTCATCATCACATTATTGACTATATCATTGTCTATCTGTCTGTCTGTTTTCAACCTAGAAGTTTGCATCGATGTGCAGCAGTTCAGGTCGCCACACTCCCTCCATGTAGCACACAAAGCAATAGAAGAAAGCGTGAGAAATGCAAAATAGAGACAGTAGACAGGGGTATGAAACAAAAGGAATAGTAATAACGAAGAACCATATAGTTTCATTAGGTATTATAAGTCACAAGGAGTGAATGCATCTGCGAGAACGATTTTGAGCCATATCACTAATCATTGCCTCCAGCCGCCATTGGTTTTTACCGTCCCGAGCAACTTCCTACTTGGATGGCTGGCTGGCTTACACTAACTGTTCTGGATTTCATTGGCTGATGAACCCATCTTTTGCTTTGACCACCCACCACTAGCTAACTCTTTTCCAACCTGATCTATCTTATGTCAGCTAACATTGGCCGTCGGTTGAGGAAGACGATGGCTAGGCATGCATGTGTAACACATGTCCTGACCATTTCTCTCAGTCGATGTAGCTTCGCAGCCCCGTCTATTGATTTCCCCTCCTACCTACCTAGCACTCGACCGAAGCCTGACCTCAATATTGCTCGCCCTATTATACCACCACTTAACACGAGAGATAGAACGCAGGCACTTGTGATCAAAGACAGCTAGCTAGCTAACTAGTCTTTTCATGTCTCCTACTTTCATTGGTCAATAGTAGAAGTGAATTTGTATTTTCTTGCTATAGTCAATTGTTATTGACGACATGTATGTGGTGTAAATAAATGTGCATGAAAGTAGTTGTAAGTGATTTTTTTTGTTTCTGAGTGGTGGGCGTAACGTGTAGTGTATTTTTGGCTGATTTTGCAAGTGTTTTATTACTTTGGCATGAACTGTCAGTCTTATTGTTGTATGCGTGTAAGTGATTGTATTTTATTGTTGATTGTGTGGTTGGTTGGTTGGCTGATTATTTTGTTTGTTTAGTGACTGACCACTTACACTGTTGGATATCTGGTATGGTGCTGTATAAAACTCACTAGTGTATGTGTATAACTAGTGAATCCTGTCTACAGCTACAATGATTTGTGCATATTGACAGTGTAAATATGCCTATAAGTTCGGATGCAGAGAGACACTGTGTGTGTGGGTGTACGATATGTTATATGATGTGAATGCTTGTCGTGCTGATTCGCCTATTTCTGATTTTGTGTAGATAAGTATGTGTTTATGACAAGGTGAGTAGTGTATGAGTGTGGTTGTTGCTGTTGTTGGCCCGACCGATAGCTGCCACATTGACGTGGTAGTCGCCGGGCTTGCATATCGCAATGACCCAACAAGCTACACTGGCTGGAACTATTGTTCCTGCAGGCCCCAGTATGCCAGGAAGGTTGTTGGGATAGCGATTAGACTAAAAGCAGTTACTGACTTAGTGTAAGAATTTTTTTACACTATGGTGGGAGATCTGTGGGCGAAGTCGTACCGCTGGGGAATAGGAATGTAACAGCAGTAAGATGTTTCCCTCAGATGACCAGTATGCCAGCCAGCTATGCTGTCTCTCCACTCTAGAGACAGGGGGTTAGAAAAAGTCAACCCTAAAAATTGTACATTCCAACTTACCCTAAGATAGTAGTCCGTAAGCGTCGGTAAGTCTACTAATACGGAACCAATCCAAGGAACCAGTTCATACAGGCCGTGTTTGACCGGCCGGTCTCAAGCACTTGTCCCCTGGGCTTTGTGGTTGGTAGGCCTAGTTGAGGCAGTTCCCATAATTATTTTTCAACCCAATCTCTGTGTTCAGAAAAAAGTTTGTACAGTCTCTTTCCCTCCCTTAGCCTTCACCATCAACTTAAAATAGTTATCTTTCCCGGTGACACACCGGATAACTGCAAATATTATCTTATTTTATTTTATTTGAAATGCTAACTGTATTATCAACACCATGATATGCTGTAGTTATACATTTTATTCTCAGTTTCACAATTTACTATTATTATTGATTATGTAATCGCTATGTGACAATAGTTATTTCCCCCTCCAGTCCTCCTACTATTATACACATTTTTTAGCTATGCAGTCACCGTTGCCTAGATTATATAAACACTTGTATGAATTTATCCTTATTATCATTATTATGATCACCTCGGTTGTTATTCACTAATTTACAACCCTGAACTTTGATCCTTTATGTGTCTTATTAACCACATTCATCATTCAAATGCCTATGACTAATATTTCGTCATTATGTAAATGTTAAGCCTAAAGGGAATTTATCGAACACACGTATTGGCTTACTTAAATCGTGTACTATAATTATATTCTTTCTCAAATAATTTTTTAGTGCGTCCGTGGTGCAGCGGTAGAATGCTCGCCAACCACGCGCGCATGTGGTCCGGGGTTCGATCTCCAGCCACAGACGCACTCCTTAACCTCTCTAAGCCAGTAGTAAGGCCGGTAAAGAGGGAAAGTTGGGCTGGGCATGAGGTTGGCTAGCAACCCCATCCTTTAGAAATAAACACCACTGCTACCGAAACTTCAAGCCTTTAGCTTGAAGGCGCCCTATGTTCCACTGGGAACGTAAAGGAATAAAAAAATCATTTTAAAGCATTTTAGAATCCTATTTCTCCCGATTCCTTTTGCATTCCAAATGGAGCGTAGGGTTTCAAGGTTGAGCCTTGAAGTTTCAATAGAACTGGTGTCGCTTTGTTTGACGACGGGGTGAGGTTGCTCCCTAACCTACCCTCCTTGCCAGGTCTACTACTGGAAAAGCGAGATTTGGGTGTGTGTTGGCCGGGAGTCGAACTGCGGACTGCCTGCGCGGGGTTGGTGAGCATTATACCATTGGACCTGTGGATTTGAAGAAAAGCTACTTATTCAAACTGCCAAAGAAAGGAGACTTAAGTCAATGCAAAAACTGGCGCGGCATTATGCTCCTGTTCACCCCAAGCAAAATACTAAGCCGTATCATCCTGGAGAGAATCAAACACGCCCTAGATGAAAATCTTCGACTGGAACAGGCTGGATTCAGGAGAAACAAGTCATGCATCGGTCGAATAGCAACACTACGGATCATCATTGAACAGAGCTTGGAATGGTAGTCAGCCCTCTATCTCAACTTCTTCGACTTTGGACAGGCCTTCGACAGACAGCGTCAATCGAGAGGTGATTTGGCAACTACTTCGCCATTATGGGGTGCCGCAAACAATTATACACCTCATCCAACAGTTGTACGACAATGCTGCATGCCAAGTAATCCACAACGGGAAATTTATGGAACCCTTCGAAGTGAAGACGGGAATAAGACAAGCTGTCTACTAATTCCAATGACTTTCCTGATTGCGGTAGACTGCATAATGCGACAGACAGCAGGCAGCGAGGAAACAGGCGTAAAATGGACGCACACAAAAACTTGGAGGATCTGGACTTCGCTGATGTGATATATGCCTGACTTCCCACAAACTGGAAGATATGCAAGCGAAAAGCAACAAGTTGTCAGAAGAAGCGTCCAAAGAAGATGGGACTCCAGGTGAAAATAGAGAAAACAGAGGTGATGATGAAGATTCCTGGGCAACACCACCAACAGCAACAACAACAACAGACAACAATCAGCATAAATGGAAGGAGTCTGAAAGAAGCAACCTCCTTCACCTACCTACCTACCTTGGAAGCATCGTTTCCATTACAGGCGGACGGAACTAATGAGGATATCAAAGTGCAAGGATCAGGAAAGCAACGCAAGCTTTCATTTCTCTCTACTCTTTGTGGAGGTCAACAGCATTCAGGAGGAAAAATAAGATCCGGATTTTCAATACTAATACACGAATCAGAGACTTTGTGCCGCGCCGCGTCACGAAGGGCACTTCGAACAAACTACAGACCTTCATTAACGGCTGTCTTCTCTCAATGCTACTCAAGATCAGATGGCCGGCCAGAAAAGATCAGCAACAGGGATCTCTGGGAGCGAACCAACCTAGCAGGAAGCAATTGTGCAACAAATATGCAGGAAGAAATGGAGGTGGATTGGCCATACTCTGAGAAAACAAACCATCAAGTGAGTGACATCACACGCCAGACCGTCGCTCGAGTGGAACCCGGACGAGAAGCGGCGAGCTGATCGTCAGTGCGAGGGTGACATGGATAAGGTCATGTGAAGAGGAGATTAAAGCATGTGGGTGGCAGACGTGGAGCCAGGTGAAAACGTTGACAGAGAAGCGAACGCAATGGAGACGTGCGGCTGAAGCCCTATGTTCGTCTAGGAACTAAAGAAAACAATAATAATAGTAGTACCGTTGAATCACCGAAGTATAGAACCACAGTGTTTTTAACTTATCATAAAATTCTCAAGTATTTTTTCTTCAATATTTCTGAATTTCCTAATATTTGTTCTCCCGTTCTTAATTTCAGAGTAAAATGGCTTCCCATTCCGTAGATCAACCTCGACGGGATAATAATGAAATGGATGGTGATGCAAATGTCGTAGAAGTCTATGTATGCAAAACAAATCGTCAACATCCGACTTATCGATTTCCACGCTATAACAATCCCAAAAAGTTACTTGAAACTCGTCTTGGCCGATGTGGTGAATGGGCAAATTGTTTCGCTTTATTTCTTGTCTCAGCTGGACGTTCTTCATCTAATCAACCATGGTTTGATGCATGTCGTTTTATTATGGATTGGACAGATCATGTTTGGTGTGAAGTGTATGTTTTAATGAATATTTATATTTTCAATTGAAAGAAATATTGATGAGGCATTTCACGGAAGAGTAGTCAGTCTTTTTTTAGTGTGATATCTATTATTCTCAAACTGTAAAATCGCCTATGTATGTGTTAGACTGTCATAGCAACGGTGACTTGTCATCTGAAGTGGTGACAACTAGTGGTGTCCGTCAGCGAGGGATGCCCACTATCCCCATTTCTATTCAATTTCATCATAGATGTACTAATGTAATTAACCCTAACTGCTGACTTCAGCGACTCAGGGATTGACTTGTCACCACCAGGGAATAATAATCTCGTTGACTTAGAATATGCAAACGATGATATAGTTCTCCCACCTAGGTGAAGACGCTGACAAAATAGAGCAGAGTCTTCTGAACACACCTTGAGCTGGGCAGCAATCTTCGAATGTTCGGCATGCGATTCGCTCCATGTGTCAAATGTAAGATGATGAAGCTACAGGACTACTGGACTAGCTTAGAAATAGGGAGTAAAATGGTTGGTGGAGCGTGTTGACCACTTCACTCACTTATTTTGGAAGTTGCATTAGCCAGCGCCAACGGGTCGATCGCTAACGGAATATCAGAACGGATATAGAAAGCTCTTTTGGCATATACCAGTTTACGCCGTACCTGACGTAGACATGGTATCCGGCTGGCTGGCTATCGACCAAAGGGCATGTGTGCCGCTCAGCAGCAATCCGCTCTGTCCTCCTCATTTATGGCTGTGAGCGAGACCTGGTCATTGAAATTGGAAGACATGAGAAGGCTAGCTATGATCATTGGTACTTGTGTTCTATCTCCCGTGTAAAGTGGTGGCATACTATGGTGAGCAATATTGAGGTTCAGCTTCGCTCGAGTGCTAGGTTTGTGGGAGGGGAAATCCATGGACGAGATTATGAAGTTACATCGACTGAGAGAGATGGTTAGGACATGTGCTACGTATGTGTGCGTAGCCAACACCTACCTTGACCGACGGACAATGTTAGCTGACATAGGATGTACAGATCAGGTTTGAAAAGAGTTAGCTTGTGGTGGGTGGTCAAACCGCCAAACCGAAAGATGGCTTCATCAGTCAATTAAATAACTCCACAACAGTTAGTTTAAGCTAGCCGGCCAGCCAGCCACGTCAGGAGGTGTAGACTTCCTGACTGGTTGGGGTCTTCGGAACGGTAAAAAGCAATAGCTAGAGACAATTGGTGATATGGCTGAAAATCATTCTCGGTGATGACTGGTGCAGATGCATCCGCTCCTTGTGACTTATGATACCCAATGAAACTATATTGTTCTTCGATGTTACTCTTCTTTTTGCCTCATATCTCTGTTTACTGTCTGTATTTTGCATTTATTTTTACTTTCTCCTCTTGCTTTGTGTGCTACATGGCGGGAGTGTGGCGACTTGAACTGCTGAACATCGGTGCAGAGTTCTATGTTGAAATTAGTCAGTTAGTCAGTCAGAATAACGTAACATAATTGACAGGATTCAGTAGTGGTGAACTCAAATTGACAAAGGGTCAAGGTTGACATCAGCGTCATAAGAAGTAGACGTGTAGTACGGAAGGAGAATTTGTAATTAAATTAAAAAAATATAGGATTGACAAAGATAACGTATCTAGGGTTAAGACAGATCAGGTCTTTTATAGAGATATAGTGACTGAACAAATGTCTTCTGAATTCGGAGTTCAGGATTTAACATATGGAGACGGCCATAACTTCTGTGGTTTTAACAAGTTTGCTTCTGTACTTTTATGACAAGATTTCCACATCCTCTGTAGATAATTCTGAATTTGGTTTCCTAGTTCTCTTGATGTCCAGGATAAGATCTTCAGGGGGATCTTTTCTCACCTGTATGAAACTATAAGGGTAAATGTTCAACGATACGTTTGGATAATAGAAGCTGACTATACAACTGAGACGCCATAGCTCCATAGGGGCACGTGAATCGTTGCATATACATTGATGAAGCCAGGAGTGGTAGCTTATCCTTCATGCTCAGTCTCTTAGCCTACAATGAAGCTAATCTGTCTCAACTGGTGAGATACGTTATCTTTCTTAGTCATATTTTGTTTAAAAATCTTTATTAGTTTTTCTCTCTTCCCATTATTACATTTCTACTCTTTGTGATGTAAGGAAGAAAAGACCGATGAGTCTCGAAGGAATGTTTCGTAAGACAAACTTATTGTGGGTACATAACTTTGGTATACCATATCTTCAATGCTTTAATTGCACATCATTTGCAAATTGGTCGAATATCACCGCATTCGATAGCTTGTTGGCTTCTACACAGTATTTCTAACGTTCTTCTGACAGTTCTCTTCTTTGGTTGCTTTTTCTAGTGTCTGAAACAAATTGTTACTTTTCTGAATTCGTTTACTGATATACTACTTACATCTGATTGTAAGTAGCATTCACCACAGTGACAGTTATCTTAACTTTGACTCTCTTGCAATTTGAGTTGAGTTCTACTCTGTCTCTGTCGTTGATGTTACGTCACTGGGTGACTTTGGTTCGAATCTCAGAAGAGACATATGAGTTCCTTCAATGTAGTTGCAGATACGCCTTACTGATGAGTGCCTACTAGCACGAAACTTAGGTCCTGGTAAGGCTTCCTGTGGCCGATTGCCTCGAATTATCTAATATCATCAAATCAATGTGCACTGTGATGGCGAGCTACTTAGTGGCATGGTGGCCACATTGCAAACCTGACTGATAGAATTCAGTCTGCACCAAAGAGAGGACTAGACACACATCACACTAGTTAGTTACTAGTGTTCAATCGAAATACATTAACCGCATATATTATATTCATTCGTATTTTTGTCATTTCTTTCTCTGCCTTTATCATCATCGTCGTATGCTTTTCTTTTCTTTATAAAGCTGGTTAGAGGATAAACACACTAAACGTAAACGTTGGATGCATTGTGATCCATGCGAGGGTCAACTAGACAAACCGTTGTTATATGAATCAGGATGGAATAAAAAAGTGAATTATATTCTGGCGTATACAGTGCCACCACGTCAAATATCCAGTAATCAATTAACATCTATTGATATACAAGATGTAACATGGAGATATACACAGAATTTTTCAGAGGTAAACAAAACGTCTTTTATTTTCTTCCTTGTTGAGTGTGTGTTTTTTAAACTGCATTTTCGTGTGACTACTCTTACTCTCTCTAACTGTCTGTGAATGGGTAGTTTAACACGGCTTTATTTATTATTTGCTCAAACAGAAACTTAGTACATTATTAGTGACCAAGAGATGCTTTGTTGGCCAGACTGAAATCGGCAGTCGTCTGAAAGGACCATCCACCGAGAGCCACACAGTAGCCTTTCTCGCTTTTCTTTGACAAAAATGCAAAAGAAAAGTCAATATCTATCCCTTGCCACTCAATTTCAGTGTCTATAAGTGTGGTATGTGCTTTGCGCCGTCTGCTGCACTCACTCTTGCGTGTGAACCGCTTGAAGTTGTTGATAAGTTTGTCTATCTGGGTAGTTGTGTGAGTGCTGGCGGAGGGGTGACGGATAAGATTTCCAACCGTATAATGAAGGCTAGGGTGGCATACATCAACTTGAGCCACCTCTGACGCCGTCACAACGTTAGCCTGGCTGTCAAAGGTCGGGTATACAATGCTTCGGTGCGGGCTGTCTTGCTCTACGCCTGTGAAACCTGGTCTCTCCGAGCTGAGGGTGTTCGGTGACTCTGCGTGTTCGATCATCGCTGTCTCTGCAGGATTGCTTGTGTTCGATGGCATCATCGCGTGAGTAATTCTGAGGTTCGGCGGCGTGTGTTTGAACACAGTGGAGATCACCATTCATTGAGTGTCGTCATCTGGAAACACCGGCTCCGGTGGCTTGGACATGTGCTACGAATGTCATCCCAGAGGCTTCCGTACAAGTCTCTGTTCGCTAGCCAGCCCTGGGGCGGGATGGAAAAGGCGAAGGGGTGGTCAGTCCATGACGTGGCATCGTGGGATGAAGGATGTTTGTGCTAGATTAGCATCGGTTGGTGCGTGACGACTCCCTGGTTGGGGTCCTCGAGATAGCTCGAATCGATGGCTCGTAACGTTATGGGATATGGCCAAGAATAGTAATCAATGGCGAACGTGTTGTAATTTCCTTCTTTGTTCCCTTCCTGATGATAGTTAACGAATACTGCTTGAACTTGTTAAACATGACTGTTTTCCTTCCAGATGAAGTTCTTTATCCGTTTTCTACTTATATTTTTGCTTTAATCTATGTTGTTTTATTATGATTGTGTGGCGCATCTTTCTTGGTGCCATATTGTACCAAGTTTTTTCTTCTGCGTTTAAATAATTAATAAATAATTAAATGTCACTCAATTTACTCTGAGTCATGTGTTGCATAACTGACTCATAAACATTTTATACTGAATGGGATCACACCCTCAGAATTACATTATATCAACCCCTGGGCATGCACATATGATTGAACAGTAGAGCTCAGTGATTCCTTTAAGTCTGAGACGAACTTGTACCCTTTCCTACCTTTTAAACTATCATCTTTCATCTGAGACTTACTGGCAAGCTCATAATTGAGCTGTCTCAACTCCTCTTCTAGTTCTAGCTATCTGGCCAGTTTATCCTCATTTTGTAAATTAGATGAGAAATCTTTATCAATAAATACTACAGCTATTACATAAACCATGCGAAACGAACACAGACATTGGTAACACTCACTTCATCGATAACTTCATCAGTGAAAGAATTAAGTAAAACCAAATCATCTGACAGTGCGTCGATGGCACAGCGGTTAGGACGCTCGCCGACCATGCACATGGTCCGGGGTTCGATCCCCAGCCGACGCACTCCTTTACCTCGCTAAGCCAGTAATAAGGCTGGTATAGAGGGAAGGTTAGGCATGAGGCTAGCAACCCTATCCTGTAGATATAAACACTGCTACAGAAACCTCAGGCCTCTAGCTTAAAGGCGCCCTATGTTCCACTGGAAACGTGAAGGAATAAAAAAAATCATCTGACAACGGTTTGTTCTTTTGTCTCTTAGCTAAACATCACCCCGGAAGTACGCCTGGATTCCAGTTCTTCGGACATAGTTTCCAGATATATGGTCGATAACCCTATTGTACCTTGCAGGGTGTCAATAGCCAGAGATAAAATATTCACACAGACAAAACTCCATGTGCCAACTCAAACAGATCGTGTTTGCCAAACCTTAAGCAATTGTCCAGGTTATGTAACGCTTATGATTCTATTTCAGGTACTCTAAGAAGAGATATAATTCTATGGAGAGTGAAAACCGCCTATACACTGCCATAAGTACACAGGGTTCTGCTTATCATCAACTGTCTATGGGGGTTACTGGTACCGCCAGGCTACCTGAATCTCGGTGGGTGGGTGGGACTGAGTTTGAACTTGTCGCCCTATAATCGGAAGTTGAGTAGTGCTCAAAATGAATAAGTTATAGCTTCTCAAGCCATTTATTAATATCAAGTTTAATCAATGAAAATTAGGCAGGAGTACTGGACAGCTGTTTCGTTCTTTTGTTGAACTCTTCGTCGGTGTGCACCAATGACTTCATTAGGGATTCGACCCAAGAGCTTCAGCTTACCAACTGAACTCGTTGACCATTTGGCCAAATGGAACGAAATCCAACTCATAGTGCAACCGCCAGCCAATATCGTTGGTGAGTATATCGTTGTCCTCGCATTCCGCATCCTGAACCTCGTTAGTTACAGCATCTCCCTAGAACTCCGGGCGACTTCATTCTGTTGTCAGTCACCAATGAACATCAGAGTAATTCCCAAGTGTCGGTTAGTAGGGATTTGATTGACCTAGTTGTATTCAGAGTGCACCTAAAAGAAGACCAACCGGTCATTAATTTTCCCCTTGGTACTTGTAAATTCGTTCATAGCTGTCCAGTACTCTCAGGTTTTCCAATGGTTCTCTAACCGATGCCAACTCCTGATGAAATCGGTTGGAGGGTTTCATCCAAGTTTCGTCCTAGTTTGGGACTCTTCATCGGTACACATCCACCCCATCGGGGTTCGAACCCAGGACCTTCTAGTAACAAGGCTAGCAAGCTCATATAACATTAAGCCGCTGGGATCCGCCAATCCAATGGCCAGTCCATGAATTCTAACTTCTGCCAATTCACAACATAGCGTGACCACTTCACAATGTCTTCTTCGATGAGTTACTGCATGATGAAATCCTTTAACCAATCAAATCCCTGCAAAGCAACACTTAAATAAATCTGCTGGCCAGTAGAGATATACTGCCTAACGACTTTCCAGTGGTTTTCGCGTTGACACTTTTGTCATTCAAATTTCTCTATTATATATATGTGAACGCATACTTTTTTCACTCATGCTTTGAATATCTTTTTTCTCCATTTCCAAAGTAGGTACGGTCACGTCGTAATCTAATCAGGGAGTCTGTATTAGCTGCGAAACTAGCGAATATTCACAAAGATGCTGTACAAAGCTGGTCATCATTTCTCAAAGAGACAACACACAGTGATGAGAATCCATTTTCTTGGAAATCTATTCTTAATGAATTGATATCTTTCTTACATCCACCAAAATCGACTGGCCAGCTTCCAGGTCGTCAGACTGGATCATTAGAATGGCGTGCAGCACGTGGTGAATTAGGCCAGCAGGCATCATCTGGATCATTAGAATCTCCGACTAAAGGGTGAGTTTAATCCTTGTTTTGCACCATTACTGTTATTGTTATTATTATCACAGCATACTTACCTGCTTGACACGCGAGACGTCCTGGGATCGTTGACCAGGTAGGCACTCCACAACTCACAACTTGTGACAAGCACTTTGCGTCGGTGGTTCAACAGTAAAATACTCGCCAACCACAGTCTAGGATTCGATTCCCCGACCGACTTACTTACTTTACTTTACTTCGGCTATCTCCTACGGGAGGATGAGCATCTGGAATCATCGCTGTCCAGGCGCGGCGATCTGATGCAAGGTTTTGCGACAGGGTTATCCAATTCTTGTTCCACAGACGGAGTCCATAGACGGTTTGTAGCCCCAGGCATTCCATATCAGCCTTGACTGTACCAAGCCATGTTTTCAGCTGTCCACCCCTGCGACATCGCCAAGATGGTAATGGCGAGGGATTTAGAACTGATTTGACCAGATCGTCATCTGGTCGGCGCAGAACATGGCCAAACCACTGAAGGCGACGTTGTTGGACCAGTACTGGAGTGAGAGAGTTCATGAAGTTTCATGGGAATTTGGTACGAGTGATGTCCCCAGAATCGCTCGCCCTTTTGTTTGAGAGTGCACCTCTAGCCTTTACACAACCAAGTGTGACCTGCAAGGCAGTAGGAGTAAAGTAGGGAGTCCACTATCCATTGGCAGCCGGTGACTGGAATTCGGTTCATACGCCATTTTGAATGGGGCCAGACATCAAAGACATCCAACAAGCCCTTTGTCCATACGTCTGCCAGTGTGCTCCAGTGAGCTTCATACGACAGTCGTTGGAGGTTTGGAATCAGGGTTTAGCCATCTCCCCTAGACTGTCATCCAATGGACAGTCAACCCGGTGAAGAGCGCCGGGCATCCGCTTTCGCCCTCTCACTCTGGTGAAAAACACCTCCGCCACGTGAAGGCAGTGAGTAGGACTTCCTCAGGAGAGGCTATGTGAGACGCCCGGTCATATGGGAGCATTTCAAGAGGTGTGCGGAGGGGTGGCCAACCCGCAGCGCAAGGCACACCCCCCCGACCATCCTGAGGCTTTGGAGGCTCCCTGACCGACGTACTACTCCTAAACTTCGCTTAATCGGTAATAAGACAGATAAAGAGAGATAAAGCGGTTAGCAACCCCACTCTGTGAAAAGAAACATCCCTGCTACTGAAAATCCAAAACTGCAGCTTGAAGCTCTCTACATATGTCCAAACCGAGCTCACTTCTAACAGTTTGAAAAAATTTGGGCACTGGGTATTTGACGATATCGGAAGAGTACTCAATACGTTCGAAATCAGAGTTTTCTTCAAAACATCAGACTCACTGTGAAGCAACCGTGTCCATTTAAAAGACCAAATCCCTAAAGATTCTCTATCTAATTGTGTCTATAAAATGAAATGCTTGCTTGGAATGTGATGCGATATACATTGGACAAACATCGCTACAGAGAAATCAAGGTAGTTAAAAGAAATGAACACCGCAGAGCCGCCTCTATTCGAACACTGAGAAATCCATTTGAACTGGAAAAGCTTGAAAAATCATCAGCCATAGCTCGTTTACACGCTATAGAATCAGGCTACAAAATTGATTTCGACAATATTGAAATAATCTAGAAGAATTTCAGAAATCACAAAGAACATCTAATATCAAAAGCCAGCCATTCATATCAGATGGAATCCAGGTTTTCTGAATAGGAATGACTGACCACAACAGAATTTGACCTGGTTACAACACCTCCCTCCCCCATGAAATGAAAAAATCAACACGAATGTTTGATAAGCGCTGTTTTTACAATTTTACACACTTATCAAATCCAACAATCCACACCTAGTTTTGTTATCTTTACCAATTGACCAACTTGACAACGCGAAAATGACCTCATGCTGAGGAACGACGATTAAGTTGTTGTACGTAAGCTGAGATTTTGTAAATTCTGGTTTAATAATACTACTTTGATAAAGCTATTAGCAGCACCATTAAATAGTAAAACGTTAGTAAAAACAACAATGTCGTTTTGCCCTTTTTCATTCATTGGAAAATACAAAATACCTTGAAGCTCTTTATTCCATTCGGAACATAGATAATTAAAATAGATGAAATAATAACAATGATGTAGTGTGATGAAAATTTAGTCAGATATTCTGTTCAAAAGTTCAGATAATTTAGAAGAGATGAAATCAGTGTGATTGAAAGTGTGTTGTTGCAGCATTCTCGAGTTGGAAGGAAATGTGTGTGTGGTTTCGTCTGAAATTCTTTTTATCCGTTCCTTTCTTCCTGAGTGGGACATATATGATCTCAGCGGTACTGAAGTCTGGCCAGGAAGGCAGCAGGATCGCTGAAAATGGGTCCAGAGACTGCAACAGATGTGCTCACGCCGTTACTGCAAAAGGTTTGGAGGTTTGAAGGAAAAGTGCCTTCAGATTGGAGGAAAGGCTGCCGTGTCAAGCTACCAAAAAAAGGCGATTTTAGGACACTGCAAGAATTGACTGGTGTGGAATAATACTGTTGTCCACGCCAAGTAAAATTCTAAATCGCATCATCCTGGAGAGAATAATACATGCACTCGATGCAGAACTCCGCCCAACAGAACAAGCTGGATTCAGGAAAGGTAAATTATGTGTTGATCAAATTGTCATCATAGAGCGAAGCATAGAATGTCACTCAAACCTCTACCTCAACTTCATCGACTTCGAAAAAGCCTTCAACCAACAGCGTTGACTGAGACGAAATTTGGAAACTACTTTAACACTATGCAGGCCGGTGCCCCAAGTCTTTATCAAGCTCATATAACAGCTGGCTATATGACAATGCCTGCCACGTATCAGGTGATTCACAATGGAAAAATGAGCAAGGCGTTCGAATTGAATACAGCAGACTGCTGTCTACTATCACCGATGATATTCTTAATTGTGGTGAACTGGATTATATGCGTCAGTCTGTGCATGAGGTTGAGAAGACAGGAATATGCTGAACTGACTGACAAGAAGACTCTAAAGGACCTGGATTTCGCTGATCATTTATGTCTAATGTTACACAAACTCGAAGACTTGTTTTCGGGCGAAAACCAACAAACTGGCTGAAGAGGCGAGGTGAGCAATCAGCGAGACAGGGTTCCAGGTGAACATAGAGAAGACGGAGGTGATGAAGACAGCCAACCACCACTAACAGCAACAGTAACAACAACCAGTACCAATCACCATCAACGGGATATAATTGACAGAGGTCACCTCCTTCACTTATCTAGGAAGCATGGTTTCAACAACAGGCAGTAGGAATGGATGAAGATTTCAAATCCAGCCAGCCAGCCAGAATCGAGAAGGTGAGATACGCCTCCACATCAACCTGAAACCAGCTTGGAAATCTTCTGCAATTAGCATAAAAAACTGGATTCGGATGTTCAACACAAATGTCAAGTCAGTTCTACTATGCGAATCAGAAACTTGCACTGAGCGTCACGAAAAGGATTTCCAACAAGTTATAGACTTTTATCAACAACTGGCCACTTTGTTGGCTCCATACTGAAGATCAAATGGCCAGCCGGCCAGAAAGAATTAGCAACAAGGAACTCTTCGGTGGAACAAAAAATCAATATCCAATTGCTCAACAAATATGTGGGAGAAAATGGAGGTGGATAGAGCACACACGTCACTGAGGCCGTCAAACGACTTCGCGAAATGCAGCCCATTGGTCGAGTGGGAGGTGAGTGGGGGAAGCTTCTAGCGGGTCGTTAGTGCTAGGGTGACATGGAGGAGATCGTGTGAGTTGGAGGTCGGTCGGTTTTCGACATAGAACTTTGCACATATGTGCGGAAGTTCAAGTCGCCACACCATGTAGCACAGAAAGTAAGAGAAGAAAGTAGGAGAAATGCATATTAGAGACGGTAAACAGAGGTGTGAGACAAAGGAATAGTAATAACGAAGAACAAAACAGTTTAATTGGAAATCATAAGTCACTGAGAACGATTTTGAGCCATGTCACCAATTGTTTCCAACCACTGGTTTTTACCGTCCCGAGGACCCGAACCAGGAAGTCTATATCTTCCTACGTGGCTTAGACTAACTGTTGTGGATTTCATTGACTGGTGCCATGTTTTCGTTTGATTGCCGCTAGCTCTTTTCCAGCCTGACCCTATGTCAGCTAACATTGCTTGTCGTTGAGGAAGACGATGACTAGGCATACGTAACACATGTCATAACCATCTCAGTCGATGTAATTTCACAGTTTCGTCGACTTATTTCCCCTCCTTACCTAGCACTCGACGCCTGACCTCAATATTGCTCACCTTATTATACCACTTCACGCGGGAGATAGAGCGCAGACACCTATGATCGAACACAGCTAATCTTTTCATGTCTTCCACTCTCGATGGCCAGGTCTCACAGCCATTGTGAGTTGGAGGAGGAGAAGATGAGAGATTTACGGGGAGTCGTGGAGCTAGCCAGATGAAGAGGACAGCAGAAAATAGAAGAAAGTGGATATGTGTTGGTGAAGCTCTATGTTCCCCTCGGAACCAAAGGGAACAACAAATTAGTCTTGCAATAAATTTCGATATCTTCCCTAACACCTACCTTCTGATGCTTCTTTTCTCTTCCATTTCTCATTATGATTATTTACACGACCTTTCCTTTTATTATCATTATTCTTATTTTGTAAACCAGATCCAAGTATATTATTCGTCCATCTGATGTTGAACTGGAAAGTGGAGTTTTCCATCTACGTTATAATTCAGCATTGAATATTTATGAACGTCCTTCATATAATAAAACAAATACTACCAATGAATCGAGTAATAGTAGTAGCGGTAATTGTTCAACAAGAGTTAAACAACAACCATCATCATCATCATCAAAATTGATTGAAAATGCACGAAAAACTGGTCTGTATGGATGGCAATCTTTGGCTTATGAATGGAAGAATATTTTTCGAAAGGTTAGTTATATTTCTAGAGAAAAAAAGAGTTGGATCACGGTTTCATATCAGTTAGAGAGGGAGAGAGCTGTTGAAAACCACCAGGGAGTACTAGACAACTACTAGTTGTTTCGTCCTAGTTTGGGACTCTTCAGTTAGGACGAAACAGATGTGTAATAAACGAAATATTCCCCATATTGAGTCATAAGAAAAAAGGCACAAACAGCGAAGAAAATTTTCTTTTCGACGATTCATTTTCATGAGCTCTACAATCAATCGTAATTATAATTAACAAAGAAATCTTTAGACCAATCAGATACTGGTAAATTTTGTCCTTGGAAGATTGTATTACATAATGTATGGTGTAAGAAGGGATGACTAATTGTAAGTTAGAAAGGAGATAGAAGTTGGCATGATGTAATAAGTGTGAGATAATGAATAATCAATAAGCTCGTGTAAAATGGACAGGAACTAGTGGAAAGGCTATAACGTGTTTTTGTATAAAATATGTATGAAAAGCAATGTTATTGATAAACCGTAATAGAGTGGTTATAAAATGTGGATGATGGGAGTAATAATGATAATAAAAGCATTAATAAAATAAAGTAATAATAATAGTGAACTTAGATAATAAAGGAAAGAAGCAAAATTGTAGTAAGAACTTTACTGTGGCCATGGTAGGTCAAGAGAATGTATGTATCGCTTTTGGATGCAGAGGTCTGGTTTCAGATCTCGAATAGCTAATGCTTCAGCTATGTACAGATGGCGTATCCGAAGTTCCTTTGTACGATATTGAGGGACTCTGTGTAGCACTGTGAAGCATCCATGCAAGTGGGAGTGCTCGATGTCCAGAGATGACAAGGTGTTCGAGGATCGAACTCTTGCTATTCTTCTTTTCTCCTCTGGATAACCAAGCTGGGCAGTGTTCCAGAATACGTTTGTGGACTTTTAACGTTGCGTACGGCCGATATACTTTGCTCCACACGAGCAAGTAAATTGATAAATAGACATTGAAGTGGCCAAAAGCGGTATCTTGTCCTTAGCGTTAGACTGGATTAACTGTCTGCAGGAGAATGTGATACGTAGAGTGGCTGTTGGAAATGTCTTCTTCAGACATTTAGAAAGGTGGTTTCTGAGAATTTCCACTGCGACATCACCTTTGATGTGCAATACTCTCTCTGATGGTTTTCAGTGGCTCTCTATAATTGATACCAATTGGTGATTGAGTTTGGCAAGGACCAAATCTCTACAAATTAACTCTTAAAAATTAATCTTATGCTCACTGATGATTGGTTACGAGACGAAGTTACTTGGAGTTCCAGTGAGATATGGCGTGACCCGACCAGTGGGGTCGGGAGTGAGGACAACTACTCTCGGACGGCATTAGTCAGTTAGTTAGTGGTCGTGTTAAAATCACGAATTAGTAGAAGTTTGAATTGTTGTGCTGTTGGACTCCATCCAAATGGGTGAATAGTCTACGAGCTCGCCTTGTAACTGGAAGGTCCTGGGTCCGAACCCCGTTTTTGTGTCGTATTGATAAAGAGTCCCAAACTAGGGGGAAACGGAGCTATCCAGTACTTCCCGTTTGTTTTTCAGTAATTCTCTAACTGACATCAATTTGTGATAAAACTTGAAATTTATCTTTTTGTTTAGTTTCGATCCAACTTTTGTATTTTTACATCATAATCAGTGTAAAATTTTTGTATGAATTGTGAAAAATCTTTTTTCCCTCATTTGAATGTGTTCTGTTTTCGGAAATTGTTACATGCTTCCCTCTACCATTGTGACTAGCAAACTGCGAATACAAGTGTTGGTTTGTAGGGATTTTGTTGATTGGTTACAGTAGGGTATGGTAGAGCGGGTGTGAGGACAAATACTCGCCAGCGATGACATTGGCTAGTGGTCGTGCTATTTCGTGAATGGGCAGAAGTTGGAATTTTATGGGATGGTCATTGGATCGAGTCCCAGTGGCTTAATGGTCTACGAGCTTGCCTTGTAATCAGAAGGTCGTGGGTTCGAACCCAAATGGAGTGAGTGCGTGCTGATGGAGAGTCCCAAACTGGGCTGACGAAACATCTGACTGTCCAATACTCCCAGCTGGATTTTCCAGTGGTTCTCCAACCGATGTCATGTCATGATGAAATCATGTAACCGAACTACGGATTGCTTTATATTTAGGCGACGTGAAAGAGACTGTGTGAGCGAATCTTTGAGACACGGAAATTGTGCGAGGACTGATAATACTGTCAAGTCACCCTAGACTAATAGTAGGTAAGGTGAGATCTGAAATCCGGGAACCATTGGCTGAAAGTCCGGTTATTTATGCCGATTAGCACTAGTCCTCCAGTCTACTCCAATTTATTGTCTTTAAATGTTTTAAATCATTTCATTCTTATGAGAATATCATTGAAGTATAATGACATTACTACTGACAACTAGATCGTGTTGTGTTGTTAGTTGCCGATGGAATACACTTTTCCTTTTTATTTGCTCAATGCTCAAAGTTATCCCTAACATAAGCAGTCTGAATGACTAACGGAGTTTTTTTCTTTATATTCCTTTACGTTCCCAGTGGAACATAGGGCGTCTTCAAGCTAGAGGCTTGAAGTATCGGTAGCAATGGTGTTTACTTTTACGGGATGGGGTTGCTAGCCTCATGCCCACAAGCTTCCCTCTTTACTAGTCTCATTACTGGTTTGGCGAGGTAAAGGAGTGCATCCGTGGCCAAATGAGGCGTGGTTGGCGAGGAGTCTACCGCTGTGCCATCGACGCGACAAACGAAGTTACCAATATCGGAATTTCGCCCAGAAGCACAGCAGTTCAAGCCATCTCATTCCATGTAGAGAGAGAAAAGAAATAAATTCAGCGGAAATACAGTGAGCAGAAATGTGTGGGAGAAAACGCACAGTACTATAGAAAAATATGAGGATATAATGGGTATGGGAGATTACGGAGAGTGAATGCATTTCACTCCATCGATAATGACTTGAACCATATTACCAAGAGTCTGCAACCATTGATTATTAATGCCCCGAAGATACTCCAACGAAACAGTCTACATTTCTTTGTGTGGTGGCTAAAGTCAACCTGACTGATACCACATTTTGATCTGATCACTTAGATGACGAGCTGATATCAATTAGATAATCGCTGAGAATCACGGAGTACTGGTCATCTGTTTGTGACTTGAAAATTAATGTAATTCACACCAGTTAGTTACCAACTGCAGGATAAAGTTGCCTAGAGTTTTAATGAGAAATCATGATTGTGTGGAATCTGCCAATTTGGGTGTCAGAAGGTATAGTCACCAATGACATCAGCTGCCAGTGGCGCTATATGTATATCCTTTGAGTTTGTAACTTGGAGGTATTGGATTTGAACCATAGATGTGCTTTGATGGGTGCGTACTCCTGAGGAGTCCCAGGCTAGGACGAAACAGTTCTCCAGTACTCCTTGGTTTACAGTGGATCTTTAATTGATGTTAGTTTGTGATCTGACTTAACTTCACAAGTACCTTTGAACATTGAATTATAAAGTCCGTGTGTTTTATTGTTTTTCTTATTTTCTTCAATTTTGTTTATTTCGTGGAAAACACACAAAGGTTGAATTGGATTGGCATATGGTTTATTTAGCCCGTGAAGAAGACTGTAATCCAACTGATGAGGGCATAATCACATGGATGTTAGATTTAAGAGATACTGATTATGTAGTTGACAAAGTAAGTTTTGTTTAGTGACTGTTTTATTTTCATAATGGTATATTATACTACTGATTAATGAATATAAATTAGTAGTTGGATATAGCTGACATCAACCAGTAATGCGTGCTAACTAGTTGGAATAGGTCCTAACACTGAACTTTGATTTCACTCGTTGCGGATTGAGCTCATCAGCAGTAGTGTACTCGCAGTTGAATCAATTAAAAGCACTCGGGTTATAGTTCAGTCATTTAGACGGAATCAAAAGCTAATAAAATCAAGGGAAACTGTGGGCGAAGTTTCACCTCCAACAAATTGGGAATTTGGGACTCCCAAATTGAAGCAGGTGGTTTTTTTAAAAGGTCAGCTTTCCCACCCTCCACGAGCCTTTGACTTAAAGTCTGATCTACGAGGGTACGGAGATGCGTCAGGAGTTACGTTCCCATAGTTGACGGTGACCAAAACACGTTCATACGCCATTCGGTCATTTTGGATTTTGGAGGCTATGCACACTATAAGTTTGGAGTGAGCATTTTATAGCTCCTTTAGGTATAAACCAGCATGTACACTGATCCGGTCGTAAGTGCCGAACGTTTGCATTCTACCTTCCAGTATGGTGAGGAAATACCCAGCTGCGTGAAGGCAGTGGGTAAGAATTATGTGATATCTGCTAAGTTGAAAGTTGTATTTTGTACATCTTTCTAATAATAAAAAGCATGACTCCATTAGTTCAGGAACTGAACCTGTAAAATGGTCGTGGTGTATTCGAAACTCGTCTCCATTTTTTTTAGGCTAAAGAGTTAGGACTCATTATATACAGGAATTTGGTAAATTTTCTTAGCCTTATGGAGGGAAGGGGTTGGTGGAGCGTGTTGAGCATTTCACTTATTTGCGGAGTGGAGTCAGTCAGCACCAACGGCTTGATCACTGACGAAATCTCAGCTCGGATTAAGAAGGCTTGTTTGGAATATGCCAGTTTACACCATCTCTGGTGTATACGTGATATCCGGCTGGCTGGCTATCGATCAAAAGACGTATGTACTGCTCAGCAGTCCGCTCCGTTCTCCTCATTTATGGTTGTGTGACGTGGCCATTGAGAGTGGAAGACATGAAAAGGCTGGCTAGCTAGCTGTCTTTGATCACAAGTGTCTGCGTTCTATCTCCCCTGTTAAGCGGTGGTATAGTAGGGCGAGCGATATTGAGGTTAGGATTCGGTAGAGTGCTAGGTAGGTGGGAGGGGAAATCAGTCGACGAGGCTGTGAAGTTACATCAATTGAGAGAGATGGTTAGAACATGTGTTACACATGCATCCCTAGCCATCGTCTTCGTCAATCGATGGAGAATGTTATCTGACATAGGGTATGGCTGGAAAAGAGTTAGTGGTGGTCAAACCAAAAGATGGCTTCATCTGTCAATGAAATCCACAACAGTTAGTTTAAAGAAGCCACGTAGGGAGGTGTAGACTCCCTGAATAGCTGCTTGGAGTCCTCGGGATGGTAAGAACCAATGAAAGCTAGAGATACTTGTTGATATGGCTCAAACTCGTTCTTAGTGATGGCTGACGCAGATACATTCACTCTTTGTGATTTGCCAGTTATATCCAATAAAACTCTGTTGTTCTTCCATATTACTCTCCTTTCTCCCTCACTCACACTTGTGTTTATTGTCTCTCTCTCTATGTTTTGAATCTCTCTTTGCTCTCTTCGCTTGCTGTGTGTGCTACATAGAGGAAGAGTGGCAAGTTGAACTGCTGCACATCTGTGCAAAGTTGTTCTCTGTTGAAACCAGTCAGTCAGTCAGTCAGTTAGTTAGTCAGTTGTAGCTTTATACAACAAATATTTGCTGGATGGCTGAATTCTATTCTTATAGAATGAGATAAAGTGGTATGAACGTATTAATTTTACTTCTCGGGAAAAGACTGCAGTTTTGTTCTGGATATTTGATGAATAATTCCTAACTTTCAAGCATTTTATGCAATTTGTAGACTTTTGAAGTCTAAGGAAACATTGTAAATTTTGAACACACAACTACTTGGATATATAACTACTATGTTATAGTATTACAGAATCGTACTGCTGTTCAGATTATTATTCTCTTAGGTTCCGAATGCAAGACAGCGCGTCAACAACACATCTTCACTTCATGCTGTATTCCTGAGAGTCATCTTTAGCTGGCTCTACGATTGTCCTTGTCACACGACCTACTCTTTGTTATCTCACGGAGGTCCACTTCGTTATTTCTCATTCGAGTTCCACTCGAAGGTGCCTACCTCTTATGTGTTATGTCACTCAACGCTAATCTCAGTGTGTGCCCAATCCATCTCCATTTCCTTCTCCACACTGGCCCTTCGTCTGTAAGTGAGGTCACAAAAGCTATCTGTAATCTGAAACGAGGCAAAGAGGCAGGACCCGACGGAATTATTCCGGGGGTGTTTAAATATGGGGGTGACATACTAGTATATAGTTTAACTAAGGTACTAGGTAACGTCTGGGAATCAGAGATTGGGGTAAGTCACTTATTATACCAATATTCAAGAAGGGAGACAAGTCCTCATGTGATAATCATAGAGGAATCAGCCTGACGAACATAGTCTCTAAAATCCTAGGCTCAGTAATCATGCACAGACTAAGCAGAACTCGGGAGGAACAAATGAGGGAAAATCAAGCGGGCTTTAGGCCAGGTAGAGGGTGCATAGATCATATTTTCAGTCTCCGATGGATCCTAGAACATAGACACACTTTTAGGCATCCAACAATTGCCATATTTCTTGACTTGAAGGCGGCCTTCGACTCCGTGGATCGAGAGGTACTATGGCAACGTTTGAATGTGAAGGGAGTGGCAAGAAAGTACATTGCACTAATCAATGCACTCTACGCAATCTCACGTAGCCGTGTAAGGGCTTATGGGGAATTGTCATCTGAATTGATAACAACCAGTGGTGTCCGTCAAGGATGTCCACTTTCCCCTTTTCTGTTTAACTTCATCATAGATATGCCAATGGAAGTATCCTTAACTGAACTTGACGACTTAGAAATCGACTTGTTACCAGGGAATAGTCTTATGGACTTAGAATATGCAGATGTCATAGTCCTGTTAGGGGAGGATGCTGACACAAAATGCAGAGTCTTCTGAACACCTTGAGCAGCAATCTTCGTATGTTTGGCATGCGATTTGCCCCTGTAAAATGTAAGATGCTGCTACAGGACTGGACTACGTCAACTCCTAGCTTAGTGATAGGGAGTGAAGTGATAGAACATGTTGACCACTTCACCTATTTGGGAAGTTGTATCAGCACCAATGGATTGATTGGTGACGAAATCTCAGCACGGATCCAAAAAGCTGGAGCTGCTTTCGCCAACTTACGCCATCTCTGGCGTAGGCGTGACATCCAGCTATCAACCAAGGGACGTGTGTACTGCTCAGCAGTTCGCTCCGTCCTTCTCTATGGCTCTGAAACATGGCCAATACGAGTTGAAGACATGAAAAGGTTGTCTGTTTTTGATCATAGATGTCTACGATCTCTTTCTCACGTTAGGTGGTATAATAAGGTAAGTAATGTTGACGTTAGGCGTAGAGTGTTGGGCAAAGAGGGAAAATCAATCGAAGAGGCTATAAAGTTACATAGATTGAGATGGCTAGGTCAGGTGCTGCGCATGCCTAACCATCGCCTCCTCCGACGGGCATTACTAGCTGATATAGGTGTTGTGGGTTTGAAAAGAGTAAGTGGTGGCCAAACAAAAACATGGCCCCATCAATCCATGAAATGCTTGACAATTAAACTGAGTCAGGTAGGGAGATGCAGACTTCCGGGTTGGAGCCGTCGGGACTCTAAGAATCAATGGCTGGAGACAATAGGTGACATGGCTCAAAATCGTTGTCGATGGCTTACGCAGATGTATTCAGTCTCTGTAATCTTTCATATTCCTCTCTACCATGACTCATTCTGTTTCACTCTTATACTTGTCAAAACTCTATTGATTCTCTTCACTCATCTTCTTGTCTACCTTTGTGTGCTATTTGGAACGTGGCAACTCGAACTGCTGCACTTTGGTGCCAATTTCTACGTTGAATCCAGCCAGCCAGCCACATTTTTGCGCCAAAATATTCATGGTTGGTTCGTTGTTTGACAGAGAGTTCCTTATTGCTAACTCTTTATGACCGACTTGTTATATACACCTAGTTTTGCCTAATTTAGCCTAAAACCTCAAAATAACTATTTTAGGGGGTTATCGCGCACTGGTGTAAGCCCCTTGTTTTTCCCTCCTTTCGGACTGCTGGATTCCTATTGGCTGTTAACACTTTTAATGTATCACTGAATTTCTGCGTTTTCAAGGTCATTCTGCCTATATATTCTTTTATCTTTGCGCGCCGGCGGTGTTATTATTGTTGTTGTTGTTGACGTGCGATTAGGACAGATTAGCCAGAGCATTAAATTAGTATTTCGCTCATAGTCTGTCTACTAGGCCGTAGTTCCGATCATATCACACGACCATCTAATCTGGTATCATTAGTTTCACTTTATTCTTGAAATCTTTATGAATTAGATAATGTTGCGATCAAGGAAGTTGCGATTTCTCTGTAAGTAATCGTGTACTATCCTCCAACCTCAATCTACTCAGTCCAGGTGAACCAGAGAAGAGTTATTAAGTCGAATCTGAGAAACTGTTGAACAGTTTTTACTGTTAATCAGTGATGCATGCTAAATTAATTGCAGATCGTCTCTGAACAGCTGAACGTGACTCGACAGCGCGATTGCTTGATCGGAAACCTTCAACTTAACCAGTTCACCTAAGTAGTTTGGGTTAACGTCTATTATTATCTAGCGTCGGTGGTTTAGCGGTTAGGACGCTCGCCGACCATGCACATGGTCCGGGGTTCGATCCCCGGCCACAGACGTACTCCTTTACCTCGCTAAGCCAGAGAAAATGCTGGTGAAGAGGAAAGGTTAGGCATGAGGCTAGCAACCCCATCCTATAAAAATAAACACTGCTACAGCAGCTTCAAGCCACTAGCTTGAAGCCCTATGTTCCACTGGGGAACGTGAAGGAAAAAAAAAGAAAAAATTGTCTATCGTTACAACGGCAACTCTAAACAATAGGAACCCAAAACGAAACGACCTACGAAAGTACAAATGACCTAGAGCAACCGATCAGGTGACCGTTTTTTCCAGCAATAGGTTTTGGATATATATGACACCAGCCTTCAGAAAGGACATATTGAGGCGACCCCTAAGCGCAGGGCATGTGTATTATTGCCTGTTATCTAGCGCTTAGTGCTGCCTGGGACGACTATTGTCGCTTTTTTAGCCTTCTGATTGGTCCTTGACAAGGTCATTTATGCGTTCGTAGGTCGTTTCGTTTTGGGTTCCTATTGTTTAGAGTTGCCGTTACAACCTACTCCATGGCTCGGTGGTGGCTCAGTGGTAGAATGCTCTCCAGTCACGTAGGGTATCCGGCTTCCATTCCCAGCCAATAAACTCCCAAACTTCGACAAATTATTTACTGGCAACTGGTAGTAAAGCCGGGGTATAGGGGGAAGGTTTGGTGTTGTGACGCCGTCAGTCTGCCCTGTAAAGGCAACACTTCAGCTATTGAAACTTCAAATCTTTGAGGCACCTCTGTTCCAGTTGAATCCCAAGGAATGAAAAGAACCTTCCCCCCACTCCCAGCATAATCCAATAAGCTGTGTAGCACGTCTGTTCACCCCCCGACATGTATTTATTTGAATATTTTCAAGATGGAGATGAATACGTTTCAATTATGCTTGTCTCTGAATTTTTTTATATTTTTGTATCTCTTCTTTTGTCCAACCTAGATATCTTTATTTACAAATATGGTCTGCCATTCATCAGATAGTCATGCTCATTTTGTCCTATGCTCTGGAGAATATCCTTCAGATGGACAAGTAGACAAGAAATGCGAGACAACAGAATCTGTACCAAAATCTTGTATATGTCTTCAACCCGGCTCAGCATCATTATTCAATTCAGACGCTATGAATGGCTCAGATTTCCTCTGCTTAAAAGCACGTTTATGGAGTGATGATAACTCTGCGAAGTTATCTTCTTTGGCATGGCAACAAGCTCAATTATTTCGACAAAAGGTGATCCATCTGTAATGCTTATATGAATGAATGTTTCTATTTTTATTTTCTTATACGTTATATTGTGGTGACAGAAGACAAGGGCCAGGCAACAGATCGTTTATTGAGAAAATCAAGAGATTTTTATGTACATTATTGTTAGTAGAGGAGCAACGTCTTCTGATTGGTTGTTTTCCTACTGAAGGTTATTCTGTACTGCTTGTGACCGTTTCTTAGAAAGTTAAGCCATATATCTGCGAATCTTATTGACACACGTTAATTCTTCTGTGATTGGTTGTTGAGTTCCTCAAAGTTAAGCTTTGTAATTGTCTTTTTTCTCATGACCCCTATTCGGGACGTAAACATTGACATCAATTGTTGTCTACAATTTTGGCAAGGAGATAGCTCTCACCACAATATGTGAGAGTAGAAAATAATGTTTATTTTTGTAATCTATAGTCGAGAGATGTTTAGCGAAGCATAAAAGCACCTAGTGAAATCTAGATTATGAACGAAATATTCTCATATATTGATTAAGTCATGATAAAAAGATGGTTGCAGCGAAGAAAATTTTCTTTTCAACGAAGTCACCGTCAACTAGGCTGTACATTCGTGTATTTTTAATTAAATGGGTGGGAAAGTTCCAGAATAATTTCCGGTCAAGGGTCAAATTAATAAAATTACAATTAGGAATTAAAATGCCATAATAAACATGGGAAGGAGGGGACGGATAAAAGTCAAACAAATTAGCATCATAATTACTGAGAAGATTGACATATATTGTGCAATTAAGGGTTAGAAATGTATGTCAATATGGTGATGGTGGTCGGTGCTGGTTGTTGTTGTTGCTGTTCGTTGGTTGGTTGGTTGTTTATCTTCATCACCTCCGTCTTCTCTCTTGATAAATAAAAAACCATTTATATATATTCATCCAAATGACTATAAATGAGATCCTTTTGAGATCCATTTATAGCCCTAATCCTATTTTTCAACCTCCCACAAAATCCTTCAATAGAATTTGTATGTGTCCTCGTAATAGGATCGACGAAATGACTGGAATGGTACACTCTGTGATGAATATATCCAAGATTATGACAGAGAACTGTAACCTTTCCATTCATCCGTATGTATTATTGATCCCCGTTTTACAAGTCTGGTAAATAATAGGTATTAGAGTAGTCGCCTTTCTATCTGCTATTCTTTCCACGAATCCTTTTCGGAGGGTGATGTCATATAAACCGATCACCCAAACATTGTTGACTCGCTCACGACCACGGTTGTATTTCTTCTTCACCAACACAGTTTCTTCGACGTGCACAACAATGTCTTCTCCACCCAACAAAGAAGTAATTTTCTCCATTTTCCACGATGCAATGTCTCTGCAATGCTGATACCACTGAACTGTTGAGACGAGGCTATTCTCAGTTTCAGCAGCTGCGGCTCTCACCGGCTGTTTTAAGACCCAGTAGTTACAAATATACAAAATTTGCGTTAAGGAGAGATGAGACCTTGCAAAAAAAATTCCTACGAAATATTAAAATTATCAGCTTACCTTCTCCAATGCTAACTCGCCTCAAACAAATTGCACAACGATGGACATATCCATCAGTTGACCTGCTAAAGCTTTTTAAAGTTATCACACCACCACACAAACAAATTCTCTCCTTCCGAAGCAACCCTAAGTCCAGGCAATACTGGAAAACACTATCCTCCTCGAATTGCAACCGTAACTTCGTTAGGGCACGCATTTGAAACGAATCAAGCGCTATACAACATTGAACTCACGTTCATGAATCTCATTGGATAATTCGACGTCGTTCGCTGATTGGTAGTTAGTGGTGCCTAAAGTTTAACTTGTCTGCATTATATGCGATTACATACAACCCTATACCGTTTAGGCTGGATCGAATGTCTAATTTAACCAGATGAAGGAATGAATAGATTTATAACACTGAAGCTTCATATTTATCGGATGAACTGGAAACACTTGCAGTGGAAACGATTCGATACCTGGAAAACTCTACCACGTTTTTAAAAATGGGTAGGAACAAAAAGAAGTACTAAAAAATAATCAAGTTTATCAACCTGATTCAACAGCTACTTGATGACTCCACAGGTCAAGTCATTCACAGCGGAAGGCTTAGCGAAGTTTTTGGAGTGGAAACAGGAGGCACGAAAAGGTTACATGGTATGTTTGATGATAGTCCTGTTTGTAGTAGACTGGATCATAGGGCCCACTGTGGAGAGAGTGAGAAGACAGGAATACGTTGGACTGACCGATAAGAAGATTCTAGGAGATCTAGACTATCGTGGATGATGTATCGGATGTCCCACAAACTCGAAGATCTACAGGAGAAAACCAACTAGTTGGCATAAGAATCCTCGAAGACAGGACTTCAGGTGAACATAGAGAAGGCAGAGGTTATGAAGATACCTGACTAACAATAACAACAAGCACCAGTCACCATCAACAGGCAGCATCCTTTCAAATACAGTTGGCACAGATGAGGATGCCAATGCCAAGGGTGGGATTGAGAAAGCAAGACAAGACCTTGATTAATCTGAAATCAGTGTAGAAACCTTCTGCACTCATCAAAAGGGAGAAGTTTCAGATTTTGAGCACTAGCGTTAAATCATTCAGTGTTTCTGTATAGTTCCAAGAATTAGGACAAGTGTCATGAAAACGACTTGCAACTGGCCACTGCAAACTTTGGTCAACAGATGCTTTTTCTCGTTACTGAGGAGCAAGTGGCCTGTGGTAACCAACAGGTAAGCAACAAGGAACATTGTGACAGTAAAGCAGCCAGCAGTCGACAAATATTCACAAATATTTATATACGACTGCTATTCAAGAACGATATACCTAGCGAAATAATTACGGAGAAATTAAGAAAATCAGTTCAAAGAACTTTTATTGCTGGAGAACTACACGTCTTATTCTCTACACCACCGATGGGAATTCCTCGACTGAAAAATGAAGTACCTAGACTAGCCACTTCAAATTGTATCTACCAATTCAACTACGCTTGTGGTGGAGCGAGTTATATTGGCCGTTGTTCTAGGAACTTGATTTTTCGTGCTTGCTCGCGAAAATCTCCCACTATGGTTAAGTAAAGGTGTAGTAAAAACCATTAACAGTTCGATATTCGACCATCTGGTGCAAACCGGCCACAAAGCCAGCGTTGAAGGATCCTTCTCTATCATCATCTACTGGGTGCCTAATAAATTACCAAAAACATCGAAGCAGAGGCTATTGCGATTTGCCTCAAACAACCAGTGCTCTGTGTGCTAAAGAAAAAAGTCCAGCCACTAGTACTGCCATGACCGGCCTTCAGTAGAGACTATGCACTCATGAAGTTGTAATATTATCTTTCCTAATTTTTCTGACATTCAGCGTATTTTATGTTGATGCTATTGAGCTGTAATCTATCAATATTATTGTTTCATTCACTATAACTGTAGAGCCTGATGATGAAGTTATCGAAAAGAGTACTCTTTGTTCAATAACCCTTCTTTTGTAAATGAAGATGGGTTGGGCACACGCTGAGGAGACCGTTGAGTGGTGTCACAAACCAGGCAGGTCCTCGAGTGGAATTCGAATGGGAAGCGATAAGTTGGATGTCTCTTCAAGGGTGACATAGAGGGGATCGTGTGAGGTAGAGATGAAGGCTTATGAACGACTGTGAAACCAGATAAACAACACTTCGGAGAACAGGGTGGAATGGTGATGTACTGCTGAAGCAGTGTGTTCTGCTCGAAACCTAGGCGAATGATAATAATAATAATAATCAGGTATTGGTTTGCAGGGATTTGATTTGTTATAGGATTTCACCATGAACTGAAATTGGTTAGAGAACCATTGGAAAACCCACAGGGAGTACTGGACAGTTGTTTATTCCTAGTTTGGGACCCTCCATCAGTGCACATCTACCGGGGTTCCGAAACCAGGATCCTGCAAACCAACACCTAAATATCAGTCGAATAGCTTACTAGCAACTGGCCCTATTCAGGTAGGTTGTTACCTGGATTCTAGTGGGAATTCGTAACCAGTAGGGGGTACTGCAGGTCGGCTGGTGTGAGGACTAATACTCGCCAGTGATGACATCGCCTAGTGCCAGTCGCGCTATATTGTGAATCGGTAGAAGTTTGAATTCATGGGCTGGCCATTTGATCGGACGGGACCCAGTGGCCTAATGGTCTACACGCTCGCTAACCTTGTAACTGGAAGATCGGGGGTTAAAACCCAAACAGGGTAGTTGCGTACCGAAGAAGAGTCTCAAACTAGGAAGAAAACGGTTTCCAATGGTTCTCTAACTGATGTCCACTCATGATGAAATCCTATAAAAGTGTCCATCATTTTACGCAAATGTATCATTGAGTAATTGTTTTTTCAATGAATTTCTATAATGGCTAGTGAGTGTCATACTTCAGAAATATTTGAATAAAGCAAGAACAACAGTGTGGTTTGTGCAGAATGAGATGATGGTACCATCATTATTTATTTCGTTGGCTTCTCATCAGCTCAGCTGCTTACAGCCTGAATAAATTATGAGGTTTATGTACACAAAAGTTGTAACATACTTGTAAATTTGGTGACATTATGTCAGTTGACAGAAGGTTCCACAGTTAATGAACAATGCTCAGAAAATGACGCGTATGTAGTTTTTGCACAGGGAGGTAAAGTTTAAACAAAATCAATGTGTGCATACAATGGTAATAAAGATGAGAGATGCATAAGATGCTGAGAGACTAATAAATTAGGTGACAATGTACCGAGTTCAACTCAAATTATAATAATAATAATAACTTTATTCCACAACAATAACAATTTACAGCATGGAATTTTCAGCGTTTCATTTTACATATTGCATTGGTTAAGCTCTTTTTATAATTATATAAATGTATGAAATGTTAAAAATATTGATAATTAATAGGAAAAAATAAAAACTCCAACAAAATCACACCATAATAAATAAATAATATAACAAATCACACATGTAATAATATGCATCATTACATTTTATAGTTTAGTTAATGATTTGAAAGTTGTAAAAGTTCTTTTCTGATATTCGTCTCTTCACACAATACTCGTGCCAAATATGGTACAGTCGAATTTTTATATTTTGTAGTACGAGCATAAATGTTTATGAAATTTCTTCTGGTCTTACCCGAAGAGATACAAGGAAACAAATGTGAATAAAGAGGATGTTCACTATCAGACAAAATAACTTTAGCTAAGTGTTTACAAGAATTCATGTGCCTATTGACAACAGTGTCGGTTAGTTGAGTCAAAGGGATAGCACTGACCCTACTTACAGCCTTCAATGTTCTTCGTAGTATTATTTGGTCTTTCTTGAGTAGCCCAGGGAAGAATAATGGAGAACAATAAAGAATGATGGGCAAAACACATGAATTAATAAATTAAAAACAAGAGACAAGCGAAATTACGCTATATCGAGGGGGGGAGGGTGAAGTTAAAGCCACAGATTACGTAACCAAATGGGAGGATAAAGGCATCCAGTTACCAGGATGGGCAAGGAAAGACTGATGATAACTGCTTCTTTCTGAACACATAAACCGGGTTTCAGCCGTTCGATAGAAATTGCTCTGGCAAACTTGAGGAGAATCGACCTCCTTTGTCTATTGATAATTTCTGTCAAACGCTTGAAACCCGGTTTATGTGTTCATAAAGAATCAGTTATCGTCAGTCTTTCCTTGCCCTGCTGCCTGGTAACTGAATGTCTTTATTCTCCCATTTGATGACGTAATCTGTGGCTTTAACTTCACCCCCACACTTCCATATGGTGTAATTTTCCTTGTCTCTTGTTTCTGTAATTCGAGTTGAACTCAGTACATTGTTACCTTATCTATTAGTCACTCTGCATCTTACACATCTCTTGTCTTAATTACATAACTCCTTTCCCATTGTATGCATACATTTATTTTGTTTAAACTTGAATTGCCTGTGTAAAACTATATACACGTCATTTTCTGAGCACTGTTCACTAAATGCGGAACCTTCTGTCAACTGACATAATGTCACCAAATTTACAAGTATGTTACAACTTTTGTGTACATAAACGTAATAATTTAATTAGTCTGTAAGTAGCTGAGCTGATGAGAAGCCAACGAAATAAACAATGATGGTACTATATTATTTCGCACAAACCACACTATTGTTTTTGCTTTATTCAAATTCATCAAGGGGAATAAATGCACGAAGTTGCAGAAAATATTATCAGTTATCAGTTTTGTCATAGTAAATTGTGAAAAATACTTGTTCATCACAAATGTTTTAATTTTCTTTGCCTTTTCCCTTACACTCCACTCCACACTACAGGATAATGATTTTGATACTTGGTCACTGGAGTGGAAAGTTGAATTGATAAAAAAGAAGTCGAAGAAGGAGGAGTAGTAGAAAGAAGGCGGACGGGATGCAGGCGAAGTCAAGCCGAAAATACTGACTTTTAATATATAAAGCAACACCTAACAACATGTCATGATTGCTTCTCTTTTTTCTTTTTTTTTAAAGGACTTATTTTGTTTATTTTATTCTATTTATATAGCATAGAAATGCTGTGATGAACAGTCTCAAATTGTGCTTTATGAAGTTCTGCATGTTATAATAATATACAATAATATAAAATATAGGGAACAATATATTTGTATGAGGGGGGATAGACAAACTGATGAAAGATTTGTAGGGTGTGTCCCCTATATTTTTTCTCCCGCTCATTTTCATCTTTAAAAAAAAATTATTATTTGATATTTTATTTCATGTTTTATCCTTTGTTCTTGATATTCTTGAAAATGTTCTGTAATTTCTTTTTACGTGTTTGTTTATCTATCCCACCTTTTTTCGGGAGATAGAGGCCTCCGTCTCTCCCCACCTCTCTCTCTCTCTCTCGAAAAGCGAGGTAGGTGGGAGGGGAAAGAGGTGGACTAAGTTCAAATAGGAGAAGATTAATTTTGTGAAGGAGAGGTGGGAAATTAAATTGCAAAATGCATATTGTGATTTTACACGATCTTTGATTTTTTTTTCTCCACCTGGTTTGCTGTCTACTTGTTTGAAGGAAAAGGTTTTTGAAGTCAAATGACGAATTGATATTGGTTAGAGAAATGTTGAAAAAGTATCAGGGAGTATTGGACAGGTGTTTTATTACATAGTTTGTGACTCTTCGGCAATACTCAAAGAGGACCCCCCTCTCACTGGTGGTTTCGCAGAAGTTGGAATTTATGGGCTGGGCATTGGATGGGGCCCCAGTGATTTAGTAGTCTATGGGTCTGCCTTGTATCCGGAAGGTCCTGGGTTCGAACCACGGCAGGCGCGTACCGATGAAGAGTCCCAAACTACGATGAAATAGCTGACTAATACCTCCTGATTCTCAATGCGGACAATACTTGGTGCTGATTTTCTGCGACAATTAACACGAAGGAGAGGAGGGTGAGTATGAAGTGCGGACCTATCAGCGTGTATGAGACAAGTGAGATAGCAGGGGTTAAGGCGTCGAAATTACAGAATATTACTGTGTTAATTACAGAATATGATCACTGGATATGGGGACGCCTACGGTTATTGTAGCAGCAGGACCATATGGAATCCCAGCAGAGGCATTGAAAGTGGACCCAGAGACAACAGCGGACTTGATGACGCCACTACTGGAGAAGGTGTGGAAAGAAGGCAAAGTACCCGAGGATTGGAAGAAAGGATACTTATTCAAACTACCAAAGAAGGGAGACTTAAGTCAATGCAAGAACTGGCGCGGAATTATGCTCCTGTCCATCTCAAGCAAATACTAAGCCGCATCATCCTGGAAAGGATCAAACAAGCCCTGGATGAAAAACTTCGACCGGAACAAGCTGGATTCAGGAGAAAGAAGTCATGTATTGATCAAATCGCCACACTACGGATCATCATTGAACAAAGTTTGGAATGGCAGTCACCTCTCTATCTCAACTTCATCGACTTTGAAAAGGCCTTCGACAGCGTCGATCGACAGGGGATTTGGCAACTACTTCGTTACTACGGAGTGCCGCCAACAATTATATGTCTCATCCAACAGTTGCACGACAATGCTGCATGCCAAGTAATCCACAACGGGAAGCTCACGGAATCCTTCGAAGTGAAGACAGGAGTAAGACAGGGTTGCCTACTATCGCCAATGATTTTCCTGGTTGCAGTAGATTGGATAATGCGACAGACAGCGGGCAATGAGGAAACAGGCATAAAATGGACTCACACAAAGAACTTGGAGGATCTGGACTTCGCTGATGTGATATATGCCTGACTTCCCACAAACTGGAAGATATGCAAGTGAAAAGTAACAGTTTGGCAGAAGAAGCATCCAGAGAAGATAGGACTCCAGGTGAACATAGAGAAGACAGAGGTGATGAAGATTCCTGGCCAACACCAACAGCCACAGCAACAACAACAAACAGCAATCAGCATAAAAGGAAGGAACCTGAAAGAAACTACCTCCTTTACCTACTTGGGAAGCATTAATTCAACTACAGGCGGAACTGACGAGGATTTCAAAGCAAGGCAGGCTTTCATTACTCTCAAGTCTGTGTGGAGGTCAACAGCATTCAGCATCAAAAATAAGATCCGGATTTTCAACTCCAATGTGAAGTCAGTGCTACTATACGGATCAGAGACTTGGCGTGTCACAAAGAGCACCTCAAACAAGCTACAGACCTTCATTAACAGTTGTCTTCGCTCAAGATCAGATGGCCGGAAAGGATCAGCAACAAAGATCTCTGGGAGCGAACCAACCAGGAACCGATTGTGAAACAAATAGGCAGGAAGAAATGGAGATGGATTGGCCACACTCTGACATCACTAGACAAGCCTTCGAGTGGAACCCGAAAGGGAAGCGACGAGTTGTTCGTCCAAGGGTGACCTGGAGGAGATCATGTGAAGAAGAATTGAAGGCGTATGGGCAGACTTGGAGCCAGGTGAAAACTCTAGCAGAGAACCGAACGCAATGGAGACGCATGGCTGAAGCCCTATGTTCCTCTAGGAACTAAAGGAAATAATAATAAATAATAATAATAATACGGTTATTGTGATAAGGTGAGGCATGAATTCTCACTGAGTGGTCGCAAGATGGTACCATTAACAACACGAAGAGTCTGATGTCATTTAGAAGGCGAAATCGAGCGACGAGTAAGGGAGATGTTACAGGATGATGTTATTGAAGAAGCTGACAGTTCGTATAACTCTTCAGTTCTTTTGGTGAGGAAAGCGAATAGGAAGTACAGATTCTGCGTCGATTTCCGACAGCTAAACAGAATGACAGAGCTGAGACCGTGCACCATGCCAACTGTAGTAGAGACCTTGGATCATCTACAAAGTGCGAAGTTGTTTACCGTGCTTTACCTCCAGTCAGGATATTGGCAGATACCGATAATATATAGTGACACAGATAAGAAGGCGTTCATCGTGGGATAGAAGCAGTATTGATTTAAACGCATGCCATTTGGACGCTGTTACCTAGAGACTTGAACAGTGTAGAAGTGCATAGTGATGATCTCTTAACCTACAGTCAAAATGAAAGCAACCATGTGAATTATGTCGAAGCCGTGTTAAAACACATTGAAGAGTTTGGAATGCACATCAACAGAACAAAATCTTAGATAGACAAACGCAGTGTTACCTCGCTGGGTCATAAAGTAGGCAGTGGTGAGATAAAATCGCTGCCGGAGAAAATCTTGTCGATAAAGACCATTACGGTCCTGAATTCCAGGAGGAAGCAAAGACAGTTCCTGCGGAGAGCAGTGTTTTATAGTCGATTTGTGAAAAACTTCAACGAGATAGCAGCCGGTTATTAGGTGAATCGAAGTTTGTCTGGTTGGAAGATTCGCAGAAAGTGTTCGACAGTATTAAACGGCTTTTGGACCACCAGAAAATGACACTAAAATTATCGGTACCCGGAAAACAGTTCACAGTATGTACAAATGTGAGTGACTACGCCATAGGCGCAGTACTGAGACAGGGTGAAGGAGTTGTTGAATATGTCAGTCGTGTTTTAACAAATACACAGCAGAAGTATTCAACGACAAAAAAAGAATGTTTAGCAATAGTATGGGTGGTAGACAAATGGAGACCTTGTTAACTCGGCCAACGGTTCCACATTGAGACTAATCACAAGCCGCTACAGTTTCTGAGGTCAGCGAGAGACCCACGTGGGAAATTGTTGCGGTGGATGTTGTGCCTGCAGGTGTACGACTTCACAGTCACACGTCCCTGGCGAAGGAAATGTTTTGGCAGACTTTTTATCTAGACCGGAAGACGAAGCTGAGTTACTGGAGATTGTTTACGGAGTGTATGCACTAGAACAAGACTCATTATGACTTGCTCGCAGTCAGAAATCAGACCCTACCCTGAATACAGTCATACAGGTGATCACTAACGGTACAGAAGTGAATCAGCCCACGGCGGGTAAGGATCTAACTACGCTACTCAGACAGAAAGGTTGTTTACGAGTGAACGCCTACGGAACTCTGACTTGGCGAGAGAACGATGGAAGTTGGTTGGTGGTAACACCTCAGACTCTACGCCATGAGATGATACAAGAATGTCAACAGCTAGCACATACAGGAGTAGCCAGCACAACCGACCTCTTGAGACAAAGCATGTACTGGCCAGGTATGAGATATGTACGTGGATGTCCGCAGTGCCAGTTGATGAAAGGAGACCGGTGCATACGATTGCTTCTGTAGTCAATCCCAGTTACGGTAGAAGGTGACTCGTAGTCCGTATTTGTGACGGGTCCGTATCCAGTGGCATTGAGTATCTTTTGGCGATCACGGAGCAGGCTACACAATGGGTGGACACCGTCGCGATCCGTGATCAACGCGCAAGAACCGTGACTGACGCAGTAGTTCGACATATCGTTACAGATCACGGTGTACCAAAGACAATATTGACAGATCAGGGCCCTTGTTTTGAAAGTGAAGAATTCACTTCCCGTTTGCAACAGCTGGGTATCAGGAATATCTGAACAACACCATATTATCCCCAAATGAATGGTTTAACAGAGAGAAATAACCGTACACTGAAGGAGTGGCTGACCTCTAAGAGGCATAACTGGGAAACAGAGCTTCCACTGATTCTATTAGCATACGATGCGTCCACCCAGACAGCAACAAAGAAGTCACCATTTCATTTGATGTATGGGAGGAAACCATGACTACTAATACACAATACAACCTGACTCCTCCATCACTAGTGGAATATGATGAGGCTGCGAACGGAACGGAAAGACGCCGTCAGGAATGTGGTGCGTAAAATGAAGAACAACGCCATGAAATCAGAACAGGGAGAGAAGATGTGATGCAGAACTTTTGAGATAGGTGATCAAGTAAAGTATAAAGAAAGAAGGGACGCGGGTAGATGTAGGCCAGGTTCACGGAAACTCCCCCCGAATTGGGAAGGGCCATACACACTGTCATTGCGAGACGTGGTCCGGTTTATACCACTAAAAGAGGAAATAAGCAGAAACGGGTTAGCATCAGCCAACTGGATTCAATGAGATAAGGAAGCCCGGACCAAGGTATAACGGGAAGGGGTAGAACCAAGTAGGTCGGGACGGCTCTGTTCGAAACTATTTGATGGTGGGGGGGGGAGAGTGTGACGTTTGCTACTGATAAAATTTGTCAGTAGTATATAAAGAGACGTTCATCGGCGTAAAAGCATCAAATATCGAGGAGATACATTTGATGTCAGAGAAGGCAAATGTTACAGAGTTGTGGAGATACATGGGAGTCGTGAAACGAACACAAAGACACAGTATGAAAGAAGTAGGGGAACACGGAAGATGTGAACAAATGGTGATTTGAAGATAAGTTGTACATAATTTCGCTATATAGAGATCCCAAATCCTGATTAAGGCTTTCCTTTGCCAAGTCTTTCGTCTTCTACCTTTACAACTACAGACTTTTTATGACTGACAAAAAGAGAGGCTACGTATGGGAGAATACGGG